GGTCAGGGCTGGGCTGAGGAGGGGGCCACAAGCCAGGTCTCTGCACAGAGAGAGAGAGAGAGAAAGGGGGCAAACGTTGGGGGTCCTGCAAAGCCAGAGAAGGTTCAAACAAAGAGGATGCGGGGGGGGGGGACGACCCTCCTTACGTGGTGGGAAGGGTCTCCGGGGGGCCAGTCCACGTCCAGGGCAGGGTCTCGCACAGAGGTGGCCTCTCGGGGTCTTCCCTCTGCAACGAGAAAGGAGATTGTGGGATACCTTCCTTCTTCTTTATGCAGGTGTTACGTTCATTTGGCCCTCCTTCCAGGTGTTTGGACTACAACTCCCACAATTCCTAACACCTGGAAGGAGGGCCAAAGTTGGCCCAGGCTTCCTTAGAGGCCCTCCCCCATTCTGGCAGGAGAACGAGGTGCATTCTGGGTTGGTGGGGGGGGGGTCTTCCCGGAGTCTCCCACCTTACTGCAGCTCACCTGCCCAGGTGGACTCCCGTCCTCCTCTTCCTTCGGAGAAGGTCCCTTCGTGGTCCTAGACACACAAAGAGACGGGTCACACTCCCTTCTACATGGAGGGTTAACTCACATTTGACCCTCTAGGCCAAGCCTGGGCCAACTTCGGTCCTCCCTCCAGGTGTTTTGGACTGCAACTCCCACAATTGTGGGAGTTGCACAAGGAAGAGGAAAGGAAGAAGGTGAAAAGAAAGGGAGAGGAAAAGGAAGAAGAAAAGGTAGTGGAGGAGAAGGAGAAAGGAAAGAGGAGAAGGAGAAGGAAGAGGAAAGGAAGAAGGTGAAAAGAAAGGAAAAGAAAGGAGGAGGAAAAGGAAGAAGAAAAGGTAGTGGAGGAGAAGGAGAAAGGAAAGAGGAGAAGGAGAAGGAAGAGGAAAGGAAGAAGGTGAAAAGAAAGGAAAAGAAAGGAGGAGGAAAAGGAAGAAGAAAAGGTAGTGGAGGAGAAGGAGAAAGGAAAGAGGAGAAGGAGAAGGAAGAGGAAAGGAAGAAGGTGAAAAGAAAGGAAAAGAAAAGAGGAGGAAAAGGAAGAAGAAAAGGTAGTGGAGGAGAAGGAGAAAGGAAAGAGGAGAAGGAGAAGGAAGAGGAAAGGAAGAAGGTGAAAAGAAAGGAAAAGAAAAGAGGAGAAAAAGGAAGAAGAAAAGGTAGTGGAGGAGAAGGAGAAAGGAAAGAGGAGAAGGAGAAGGAAGAGGAAAGGAAGAAGGTGAAAAGAAAGGAAAAGAAAAGAGGAGGAAAAGGAAGAAGAAAAGGTAGTGGAGGAGAAGGAGAAAGGAAAGAGGAGAAGGAGAAGGAAGAGGAAAGGAAGAAGGTGAAAAGAAAGGAAAAGAAAAGAGGAGGAAAAGGAAGAAGAAAAGGTAGTGGAGGAGAAGGAGAAAGGAAAGAGGAGAAGGAGAAGGAAGAGGAAAGGAAGAAGGTGAAAAGAAAGGAAAAGAAAAGAGGAGGAAAAGGAAGAAGAAAAGGTAGTGGAGGAGAAGGAGAAAGGAAAGAGGAGAAGGAGAAGGAAGAGGAAAGGAAGAAGGTGAAAAGAAAGGAAAAGAAAAGAGGAGGAAAAGGAAGAAGAAAAGGTAGTGGAGGAGAAGGAGAAAGGAAAGAGGAGAAGGAGAAGGAAGAGGAAAGGAAGAAGGTGAAAAGAAAGGAAAAGAAAGGAGGAGGAAAAGGAAGAAGAAAAGGTAGTGGAGGAGAAGGAGAAAGGAAAGAGGAGAAGGAAGAGGAAATGAAGAAGGTGAAAAGAAAGGAAAGGCAACTCCCACAATTGTGGGAGTTGCAGTCCAAAACATCTGGAAAGAGGGCGAAGTTGGCTCAGGCCTGCGCTAGGTTTATTTGGAGGGAACACCTCATCTGAAGTGCCATCTTAGCCAACCTCCACCTTCTCTCTACATCTCCTTTCTTGCCCCTCCATCTCATCTTTCTCTTTCTTCTCTCATCCTGCTCATTCTTGCTTCTTCTCCTCCTCCTCCTCCTCCTCCTCCTCCTCCTCCTCCTCCTCCCTCTTTTCCTCTTCTTCCTCCTTCTTTTCCTTCCCCTCTCTTCTTATCCCCCCTCTTTCCCTCTTTTCTTCTTCATGCCAAATTTTCCTCTCCCCTTGCTTTTCCTTCCTCTGTCTATTCCCGCTCCTCCTCTTTCTTTGGCTCCTCTTCTTCATTTCCTTTTGTTTGTCTTTACTCATTTTCTTCTTCATTTCCCACTCCTCCGCTGCCCATTCCTCTTTTCTTTCTTTCTTTCTTTCTTTCTTTCTTTTCACCTTCTTCCTTTCCTCTTCCTTCTCCTTCTCCCTTTTCCTTTCTCACCTTCTCCTCCACTACCTTTTCTTCTTCCTTTTCCTCCTCCTTTCTTTTCACCTTCTTCCTTTCTCTTCCTTCTCCTCCTCCTCTTTCCTTTCCCCTTCTCCTCCACTACTGTTTCTTTTTTCCTTCTCCTCCTCCTTTCTTTTCCTTTCTTTTCACCTTCTTCCTTTCCTCTTCCTTCTCCTCTTTCCTTTCCCCTTCTCCTCCACTACCTTTTCTTCTTCCTTTTCCTCCCCCTTTCTTTTCCTTTCTTTTCACCTTCTTCCTTTCCTCTTCCTTCTCCTCTTTCCTTTCCCCTTCTCCACCACTCCTCCTCCTCCTTCTTCTCCTCCACTCCATCTCCTCCCCTTTTCCCTCCTTTCTTCTCTTTTCTTTCCTCTTCCTCTTTCCTCTTCTTCCTCTCTTCTCTTTCCTTCCCTTCTTCTCCTTCCTTCCCTTCCTTCCTTTCTTCCCTTTCCTCTTCCTTTTCCTCCTTCTCCACTTTCCTTTCCCCTTCTCCTCCATTCCCTTATCTTCCCCCTCTTCCTCCTCACTCTTCACCCTGCTCTGGGCTTCTCTCAGGATTGCCTCCAGCTCGCCTTCCTCCTCCTCCTATCTTTCTTTTTCTCCTCCCTCTTTTTCATCTTCCTCCTTTCCTCTTCTTTTTGTTTATTTATTTATGACTTTTCCTCCTCCTTTTCTTTCCTTTCCCCTCCACTACCTTTTCTTCTTCCTTTACCTCCCCCTTTATTTTCCTCTCCTTCTTGTTTTCTCCAACTTTTCCTCTATCTTTTCTTCCTTTCTTTTTCACCTTCTTTCTTTCCTCTACTTCTTCCTCCTCCTCTTTCCTTTCCCCTTCTCTTCCACTACTTTATCTTCTTCCTTTTCTTCCCTCTTCCTTTCTCCTGTTTTCTTCCTCCTTACCTTTTTACCTCTTTCTTTTCCTACTTTTTCTCTTTCCGCTTCAATATCTTTCCCTCCTCCTCTTCTCCTCCACCTCTTCCTCTTTCTTTTCTTTACCCTCTCTCCTTCCTTTTCATCTTCTTCCTTTCCTCTTTCTTTTCCTCCTCCTTCACTTTCCTTTTCCCTTTACTACCTCCTCCTTCCTTCCCCTTTCTTTTCCTCCTCTTCCTCCTCGCCTTCTTTCCTCTACCTCTTCCTCTTCCTTTTCTTTCTCCCTCATTTCTTTTCCTCGCCTTTCTTTTCCTCCTCCTCCTCCTTTTTCCTTTCCCCTTCAATACTTCTCCCTCCTTTCTTCCCCTTTCCTCTCTTCCTCCTTCTCTTTCCTTTTCCCTTTACTGTCTCCTCCTCCTTCCTCTTTCTTTTCTTCTTCCTCTTCCTCCTCTCCTTCTTTCCTCCACCTCTTCCCTCCTTTCTTTTCCTTGCCTTTCCTTTCCTCTTCCTCCTTTCCTCTTTCTTTTCCTTCTCCTCTTCCTCTTTTTTCCTTTCCCCTTCAATACTTCTTCCTCCTTCCTTCCTTCCCCTTTCCTCTTTCTTTCCCTCCTCCTTCTCTTTCCTTTCCCCTTCACTACCTCTTTCTCTTCTTCCTTCCCCTTTCCTCTTCCTCTTCCTGCTCACCCTTCTCCCCGCTCCATCTGGGCTTCTCTCAGGATGGCCTCCAGCTCGCCTTCCGCTTCCTCTTCCTCCTCCAGGGAGGGGGGCCACTCGGGGGCGCCCAGGGGGGCCACTTCCACCCAGGAGCCTGCGGGGAAGCAAAGTGGGGAGGGGGCGGGGGGGTCAGCACCCCCTGGCGTTCCTTGAGACCCCTCCCCTCCCCGGAGAAGCCAAGTGGGGAGGGGGAAAGTGGGGAGGGGGTAGCAGGTGAGCCCCCCCCTGGCCTTCCTTGAGACCCCTCCCTCCGCGGGGAAGCAAAGTGGGGAGGGGGAAAGTGGGGAGGGGGCGGGGGGGTCAGCACCCCCTGGCCTTCCTTGAGACCCCTCCCCTCCGCGGGGAAGCAAAGTGGGGAAGGGGAAAGTGGGGAGGGGGTGGCAGGTGAGCCACCCTGGCCTTCCTTGAGACCCCTCCGCGGGGAAGCAAAGTGGGGAGGGGGAAAGTGGGGAGGGGGCAGGGGGGGGGTCAGCACCCCTGGCCTTCCTTGAGACCCCTCCCCTGCGGGGAAGCAAAGTGGGGAGGGGGGGAGGGGGGGGTAGGTGAGCCCCCCCTGGCCTTCCTTGAGACCCCTCCCCTCCCCGGAGAAGCCAAGTGGGGAGGGGGAAAGTGGGGAGGGGGTAGTAGGTGAGCCCCCCCGGCCTTCCTTGAGACCCCTCCCCTCCGCGGGGAAGCCAAGTGGGGAGGGGGAAAGTGGGGAGGGGGCGGGGGGGTCAGCACCCCCTGGCCTTCCTTGAGACCCCTCCCCTCCGCGGGGAAGCAAAGTGGGGAAGGGGAAAGTGGGGAGGGGGTGGCAGGTGAGCCCCCTGGCCTTCCTTGAGACCCCTCCCTCCGCGGGGAAGCAAAGTGGGGAGGGGGAAAGTGGGGAGGGGGTGGCAGGTGAGCCCCCCTGGCCTTCCTTGAGACCCCTCCCTCCGCGGGGAAGCAAAGTGGGGAGGGGGCGGGGGGGGTCAGCACCCCCTGGCCTTCCTTGAGACCCCTCCCCTCCGCGGGGAAGCAAAGTGGGGAAGGGGAAAGTGGGGAGGGGGTGGCAGGTGAGCCCCCCCCCCGGCCTTCCTTGAGACCCCTCCCTCCGCGGGGAAGCCAAGTGGGGAGGGGGCGGGGGGTCAGCACCCCCTGGCCTTCCTTGAGACCCCTCCCCTCCGCGGGGAAGCAAAGTGGGGAAGGGGAAAGTGGGGAGGGGGTGGCAGGTGAGCCCCCCTGGCCTTCCTTGAGACCCCCCTCCGCGGGGAAGCAAAGTGGGGAGGGGGAAAGTGGGGAGGGGGTGGCAGGTGAGCCCCCCTGGCCTTCCTTGAGACCCCTCCGCGGGGAAGCAAAGTGGGGAGGGGGAAAGTGGGGAGGGGGCGGGGGTGGGTCAGCACCCCCTGGCCTTCCTTGAGACCCCTCCCTCCGCGGGGAAGCCAAGTGGGGAGGGGGCGGATTGGGGTCAGCACCCCCTGGCCTTCCTTGAGACCCCTCCCCTCCTCCAATCCCCCCTCCCCCTCCCCTTTGGCCCCCTCCTCACCGCGCAGCAGCATCAGGGGGTCCTCTTCCTGCGGGGGGCTCTCCATCATCTCCCCCTCCTCTTCCTCTTCCTCTTCCCCTTCCTCTTCCTCTCCTCCTTCCTCGCAGCCACTGGTTCTGAGCCCCGCGCCCCACCGACCACTTGTAAACACACGCGCTGCCTCCTTAAAAGGGCCACGCCACTCCTCAAGGTGGGGGGGGGGCTCCCAGAACTAGGGACCTTGAATCCTCAGGGAGGGTCCGCTTTTTTGGCAAGCTGCGCCATCGCCCTTTTAAGAGCGTCCGCCTACGTGAGGCATGAATGGAGGGCGCGGAAAGCAGACATGCCGAGCTGCACGCAGCAGCCCCAGCGCCGCCAACCCAGAGCCTGACCTCGCCCGACCCCGGGGCATCCAGGGGACCGGGGGGGGGGGAGAGAGAGAGAGAGAGTCACGTGACATGGTGGACCCCACCACCCACCCTCCTTCCTGTCGAAAGCAATAAGACAATTTGAATAATCCGAAATATATGGAAGGGTAGAAGTGTCTACACCAGGTCTGGACCAACTTGGACCCCCCCCCCTTGTGTTTTGGACTCCAACTCCCACCATTCCTTACAACCAGTGAGGACAAACTCGCAGGACCCCGCCTTCAAGCTGATTTGAATTGCAGCAGGGAGTTCCACAGTTCCTGAGAACCTGGTTTGGATGATGATAAAGGGACTGTGGCTCCAGCAGCTTCTTCCACACAAGAAACCTTTCCCTTTCTTACTAAACTGAGCTCACCCTGCTTCATTGTAACTAACCCCCCCAATAAAAGGTATCCTTTCTTGTTACTTTTCCTCTCTAGAGTGATACTTTGTGTCCTTTTACTGACTCTGTCTTGCTATCCTTATTAACCTTCCCTTTCCAGAGGCATGGAACTCCGCTGGCTCACCCGGGATGCTCTCGCAGCGTCCCGGAGAGGCCGAAACTGCATTCCTTTGGACCGCGGATACGGTAACCCATACAGGCTCCTGTATCCGCGGGTCAACCGATAAAAGGTATCTTTTCTTGTTACTTTTCGTCTCTAGAGCGAGACTTTGTGTCCTTTTACTGACTCTGTCTTGCTATCCTTATTAACCTTCCCTTTCCAGAGGCGTGGAACTCCGCCGGCTCACCCGGGATGCTCTCGCAGCGTCCCGGAGAGGCCGAAACTGCATTCCTTTGGACCGCGGATACGGTAACCCATACAGGCTCCTGTATCCGTGGGTCAACCGATAAAAGGTATCTTTTCTTGTTACTTTCCCTCTCTAGAGCTAGACTTTGTGTCCTTTTACTGACTCTGTCTTGCTATCCTTATTAACCTTCCCTTTCCAGAGGCGTGGAACTCCGCCGGCTCACCCGGGATGCTCTCGCAGCGTCCCGGAGAGGCCGAAACTGCATTCCTTTGGACCGCGGATACGGTAACCCATACAGGCTCCTGTATCCGCGGGTCAACCGAAAAAAGGTATCTTTTCTTGTTACTTTTCCTCTCTAGAGTGATACTTTGTGTCCTTTTACTGACTCTGTCTTGCTATCCTTATTAACCTTCCCTTTCCAGAGGCATGGAACTCCGCTGGCTCACCCGGGATGCTCTCGCAGCGTCCCGGAGAGGCCGAAACTGCATTCCTTTGGACCGCGGATACGGTAACCCATACAGGCTCCTGTATCCGCGGGTCAACCGATAAAAGGTATCTTTTCTTGTTACTTTTCGTCTCTAGAGCGAGACTTTGTGTCCTTTTACTGACTCTGTCTTGCTATCCTTATTAACCTTCCCTTTCCAGAGGCGTGGAACTCCGCCGGCTCACCCGGGATGCTCTCGCAGCGTCCCGGAGAGGCCGAAACTGCATTCCTTTGGACCGCGGATACGGTAACCCATACAGGCTCCTGTATCCGTGGGTCAACCGATAAAAGGTATCTTTTCTTGTTACTTTCCCTCTCTAGAGCGAGACTTTGTGTCCTTTTACTGACTCTGTCTTGCTATCCTTATTAACCTTCCCTTTCCAGAGGCGTGGAACTCCGCCGGCTCACCCGGGATGCTCTCGCAGCGTCCCGGAGAGGCCGAAACTGCATTCCTTTGGACCGCGGATACGGTAACCCATACAGGCTCCTGTATCCGCGGGTCAACCGAAAAAAGGTATCTTTTCTTGTTACTTTTCCTCTCTAGAGTGATACTTTGTGTCCTTTTACTGACTCTGTCTTGCTATCCTTATTAACCTTCCCTTTCCAGAGGCGTGGAACTCCGCCGGCTCACCCGGGATGCTCTCGCAGCGTCCCGGAGAGGCCGAAACTGCATTCCTTTGGACCGCGGATACGGTAACCCATACAGGCTCCTGTATCCGCGGGTCAACTTATAAGCTCCAAAACAGTGCCATCTTTCTCCTGGACTAATTCTAAGAGTAACTGCTATCTCGCTTTTTACTAAACTGACCCTTGTGCCTCGGGAAACCACCTTTTTGTATAAAAATTATTTATTTATTTACGCTATTTCTATTCTACAAGGTTGGCACAATTCGATGCCATATATAAATACATACATTGATAAAAAGCAGGAAAAAAAGAAACATTACAATACATTTAAAACCATAAAAACAGTGTACAATAAAAATTCTAAAAACTATGTCTTCTTGTTCAAATCCTCATCCATACCATTGCCTTAGCCGTTCCTGGGTCATTTTCCAATTCAAGTTTGTCTGGTTGTGCTGAATTTCCGAATGCTTGCTTGAAGAGCCAAGTTTTCACTCTTTTTTGAAAGGTCAGGAGGGAGGGAGCGGATCTAATATCCCTAGGCAGGGAGTTCCACAGCCGAGGGGCCACCACAGAGAAGGTCCTGTCTCTCGTCCCTGCCAGACGTGCTTGTGAAGCAGGCGGGATCGAGAGCAGGGCCTCCTCCAACGATCTCAAGTTCCTGGCAGGTTGGTAGGAAGAGATGCGCTCAGATAGATAAGATGGGCTGGAACCATTTAGGACTTTATAGGCTAAAGCCAGCACTTTGAATTGTGCCCGGTAGCAAACTGGCAGCCAGTTGTATGCTCCATGGGCGCTGCTCCTGTTAGCAACCTGGCTGCTGTCCGTTGGACCATTTGGAGCTTCCGAACAGTCTTCAAAGGGAACCCCAAGTAGATTGCGTTGCAGTAGTCTATACAGGATGTAACCAGAGCGTGGATTACCGTGGCCAAGTCAGACTACCGTGGCCAAGTCAGACTACAGGCGCAAGCTGGCGCACAAGTTTTAATTGTGTAAATGCTCCCCTGGGGATCCAGGCTCAACGATGAATCCAGGATCACACCCAAGCTGCAAACCTGCGTCTTCAGGGGGAGTGTAACCCCCTCATGTGGGGACTAGCAAGCTTCTTTCCATAGCTCCACACTGCAACGATGTTCATGCCTCCATTTCATGTGCACCTGGAAGCATGTCCACCCCGGGAAAGTCCCTCGTGGTCAAACCATTTTGGCCTTTATGAATTGGATCTAGTTTTCTTTTGTGAATGGGACCCCGACCACTCAGTGCTCCCATGGACTCCCATATGCTCCCCATGAACGTTTGGGAGTTCTTATGGATGTTTATGAACTTCTCAGGAACTTTTATGAACTCTCTTCAACTTTTATGAACTCTCTTCAACTTTTATGAACTTTTAGGAACTTCCATGGACTCTTTGCCAAACCCCAACGAACTTTTTGATAACTTTCACAAACTTTTATGAACTTCAATGGAATTTGGGAAGGGATGACACGGGACCCCTGACCCTGCATGATTTCAACTCTTCTTATGAATTCCATATATGCTCTTCTGCCCCATTCCCTATATGTGTGCATGTCTATATGAAAAATATGAAGGAAAAAGTGGTTTTCATGGAACCAACAATTCATGACTCTGGAAGTCCCCCCATGCTTCCTGAGTCGATAATCCCGTAACAAAAGTACTTTTTGCATGGACAATAAATGAATGGCTCTTCCGGGCAAGACCTCGGAGGGCAAATAGCCAGGCCATCCAGAATGATGGAGTCTATGGACATTTCAGATCACCTAACACAAAGTGGCGCAGTGGGTTAAAGCACTAAGCTGCTGAGCTTGTTGATTGAAAGGTCGCAGGTTCGATTCCGGGGAGCAGCATGAGCTTCCGCTGTCAGCCCTAGCTTCTGCCAACCTAGCAGTTCGAAAACATGCAAATATGAGTAGATCAATAGGTACCGCTCCGGCGGGAAGGTAACAGCACTCCATGCAGTCATGCCGGCCACATGACCTTGGAGGTGTCTATGGACAGCGCTGGCTCTTCGGCTTAGAAATGGAGATGAGCACCACACCCCAGAGTCAGACATGACTGGACTTAATGTCAGGGGACTACCTTTACCTTTTTAACACAAAGTACATCTCTCCGTCTGCGAGGAACTGGGGATTTGTCAAAACCTCCCTGCTGTGCCACATCCTAGTCTTCCTGAAACTCATCTTTGCTTCATCGACAAACCCCATATCACTGAACGGGAAAAACAAAGGAACTAGCCTCTCGGGGCTAGACGAAAATGTCTATTCAGGGCAACAGACAATAACTCTGGCCAGGCTTGAGAGCCCAAAGCTATCGCCCTGCCATCAGCAAACATTGGTCACCTTAATCCTATCATCTTTCCATTATTTCTCACCTGGCCCGCCTCCTCCCTTTCCATTGGCTGAGCAGCTGAAGCGGGGCGAGTTCTCTGATTGGAAAGAACACTACCGCCCACAGCCACTCCTCCCAGCCAGCTGGCGCTCCTCACCAATCAGCGCGAAGTCGGCTCAGGGGGCGGGCACAAGAAATTTGAATTTGACAGCTCTGTATTTCCTATAAAAGTTGTGTTTCTTTACCCAACGGGTCACGTCGGCTCCTTGGCAAGTGATTGCGGTCATCATCCGTTCCAGCTGGAATGAAATAAACATCTTGGTGGTTTTTCTTCAACTTGGTGAGATTTATTTGGGAAAATAGGGAAAAATCTTTCTGGGTGCTTGCTGTCTCGCCAGGTGTTCTGGATCCTCTTTTTGGTTACTGCTTTGGCAGAGACTCCCAAATTCGTGATCGGCATCACTGGTGTTTTCCCAACCATAGTGCATAGAGCCCCCCCTAATAGCACACCCCAGTTCAGAGCAACCTCTTTGTGAAAAAGAGAACCAGCCAAAGAATCAGTGCCCAGCCTAGGCAGTAGGTGAGAATCAAAGTAAGGTTTATTTGGACAGTGAAAGCTCCCCCTCCCTCTCCCTTTGCAGGCCTCCTGGCTGCCCCACAGGGAGGAAGGCCTGCCTTTTGTCCTGGCCGCATCCCAGACCAAACAGCTTGGGCGAGGAGAGGGGCAGCCAGGCCGGGCCCCTGCGTTCTTTGCCCCGAAGAGCCAGGCAGGGTTCGCGCTGCTCCAAGGCTGCTCAGGGCCCACTGCACAACTGCAAGCACAGCCCAGGCAGAGGCAGTCCCGTCGGCCAGGGCCAGCTGCCCGCTTCTCTCGCAGGCAAACAAAGATCCGAAGTCGCTGGTCGACTCAAAAGTCCAGGTGACAGAGTGGGCTGTCCTGGCTGATCAGCGGCTGCCCTCTCTCTGTGCCATCGTCCCGTGTCTTTCCGTGAATCTCCTGCAAGGAATAAAAAAAATCCTAGAGTTGGAAGAGACCCCAAAAGGCCATTCTGCCCAACTCTCTCCTGCCAGGCAGGAAGACACAATTCAACCACTCCTGAGAGATGGCCATCCAGCCTCTGCTAAAAAAACCTCCACTAGACTATTAAGCAGCATATTCCACTACCAGGGAGCTTTCACATCAAGAAGTTCTTCCTAATGTTTAGTTGCAATGTCTCTTCCTGACTTGAATATACAAAATGTGATTTTACTGAAATTGTATGAAAGATGTATGGTTGGGGTCTATGTAGCCTGAAAAACTACAAAAAAGGAGAAGGGACGAACTGTAATTAAAAGTTGCTAATGAGAACTGCTGACATTGATGACCAGAGACAAATGTTTAACTCTTGGTGGAAAACAACATATTTACATTACAAAATACAATGGATTTTTCAAGCTAAGGCTAACAGTGCTCCTTACGATACGAAGGAAAATCAATTATCACTTCATAAGGAAAGCCAACATCTGTCTGGAACTGATTGGGTCAGGATATTTTAGCTGTCTGTCATTCATTTACAACTTTTGGAGCAACATCATCAAGAAAAATGCTGTGTAAGAGACACTTTACTATTCCAAAATTGTGGCAGACCAGTGGAGTCTGGCCCACCTGCCGATCTTCTCTATGGGACGGAGGAAGATGGTGTATTCGCGAAATGGCAGATTTGCAGAGAATGCAACCTGGCCTACTTATTTATTTACTCATTATATTTATATACCGCCTTTCTCACCCCTGGGGGAGACTCAAGGCAAGAATTCAATGCCAACATACATACATATAATAAAATAAAATCACAATAACGAATCACTGGCATATAACTATAAATTAAAGCCATTATAACCATTAAACATACGCCTACGCAACATGCAAACATGAAGACATAGCATTAAAAACATCCTAATATAAATATTAAAATTACATAATCCAAAAATTGTCCACCATGGCGTCTTTTCCAGGAGAAGTTAGAAGAGATGGTAATGTATGCATTATGATGAATGAATGTGTGTGCGAATGATGAGAAAAATGTAATCCCCCTTGTTTCTGTACTGGGAGCCCCTGATGACACAGTGGGTTAAACCGCTGAGCTGCTATACTTGTTGACCGAAAGGTCGCAGGTTCGAATCCAGGAAGCGGGGTGAGCTCTCGCTGTCAGCCCCAGCTTCTGCCAACCTAGCAGTTCTAAAACATGCAAGTAGATCAATAGGTATTTTAGAAAAGCCCCTACTTTAGAAACCTTTAAAAAGAGTCTCAAGACCTGGCTCTGCCGTTGCGCCTTCGGAGAGTGGTCACACAACTTCATGCTATTGCTCCCTCAGCATTCTTGTACGTAGGTTTGTTTATTATCCTGTCTCTCCCTACAATTAGTTTTACCCCTTTATCTCACCCGGAGTTTTTAAATCATTTTATGTACATGCGGCCTGCTCTTTGTCCTTATGTTTGGTTTTCATATTCTATGTATATTGTTTATATGCTTTGATGTATTATACTTTAATGTTATGTTGTTTATTTTATTGCAATTTTGTATTTTTTTATATTGTAATCTGTTGTTTTGGCTTGGCCCCATGTAAGCCGCTACGAGTCCCCGTTGGGGGAGATGGTGGTGAGGTATAAATAAAGTATTATTATTATTATTATTATTATTACTATTATTGGTACCGCTTTGAGTCCCCCTAGGGGTAAGAAAAGCGGTATAGAAATACTGTAAATAAATAATAAAATACCACTCTGGCGGGAGGGTGGCAGCACTCCATGCAGTCATGCTGGCCACATGGCTTTGGAGGTGTCCACGGACAATGCCGGCTCTTCGGCTTAGAAATAGAGATGAGCACACACACCCCAGAGTTGGACACGATTGGACTTCATGTCAAGGGAAAACCTTTACCTTTACTTTTACCTGTGTATCATAGCTAGTCTATGTGTCTAGTAGGGCTGGGCGGTTTCGTTTCGTTAATTCGTAATTCGTTAATAATTCGTTAATTTTTTCAATTACAAAACGATAACGAACCATTCTGGAGCAATTATTAAAAAAAACGAATTTTCAAAAACGTTTTGCAAATGCTTCGTATTTCGATATTGTATTCGTTTCGTTATTGTTTTGAGGTCGTTTCGTTATTATTTCCGCATGTCTGGGCCAGTTTTATGGTTTAATTAGTGAAAAAAAATTATAATATCACACCAACAGTCAACAACAGAGGGAGAGGGAAGCTTCAGAAGGTTTTGGAGGTTTTTTAGCGTATTTCGCGGTCGCGTCCGCCATTAACGAATCGATTCGTTATTGTTTCGGAAATCGATTCGTTAATTTTTTACCATTTACGAAATTTCGTAAATATCGAACTTTTTAAAAGGAAAATTTTGTAATTATTTTAAATATCGAAACAAAACCCCCCAAATACAAATCGATTTTAGAAACAAATTTTTCCGTTGTTACCCAGGCCTAGTGTCTAGTTTCTTCCTCTGTATTGTTCTGTGATATACTCTGTCTCATTGTGAACAAAATAAAAAAGAACTTTAATGCTTTTTGGGGTTTAATTTATGACATTCCTGCTCTTTGAACCCATGGCTCTGTTGTGTCCCAGTCTCCAGAGCAGCAGAAAACAACCCTGCCCCATCCTCAGTGTGATATCCTTTCAAACATTTAAACACGGCTCTCATGTCCCCCTCTCTGTTTACTTTTGCCCAAGCTAAATACATCTGAGTAAAAGTGCATCTACCAACTGCCCCCATGGCAACGTAACAACCCTCCTGTCCCACCAGAGAGGCTGTCCAGCTACACCCATTGGAAAGGCTGTCCAGCTACAGCTATAAGGCAATGTGTGGGGTCCTCACCTCCTGGCGTAGTCATAAAGGACCCGCTTGCGCTCCTGCAGGGAGAGGTGCCGTGCTTCCGGGGACCGGGCAAAGACTGCGGCGGACGGCTGTGCAGAGAGAAGGGAAGCATCATAAAGCCTGTCTCCCAACCTCCCCACAGCCCTGGCCCATTCTCCCCCCCCTCCCCATGACCCCCAGGTGTTACCGTAGCTGGGGGAGAGGCGGGTGGGCAGTGGGCACCGGAGCCAGAGGGAGCCAGGAGGGAGGACTCTGCCGTCGCCACCTCTCCCTCCTCGCTGGGTGTGAAGGGAACCCGCCCCTCCAGGAGGTTGGCGATGGTGGCGTCCACGCAGTTCGTCTGGGCTGCGGGGAAAGGAGGGGGTCACTCTGAATAAGGTAACATCCAGTAAACCAGAAAGATCTTAGATAATTATTGGAAAATTAAACCTATTTGTCATGAAGAACAACAACAAACTGATGCTTCAAGGAAAGGAATCACTTCCTATCTCTTAAATAATATGAGTTCTTTGTGACTTATTATGTTTGAGTCCCAAACACTGCTACCATCCTGCTCACCCAAGTCCTTGCAGATGACGGCCAGGGGCACGTGGGGCAGGACCTCCTTGACGCGCTGGGCCAGTTCCATCAAACGCACATCCTCTGCAGAGGTCACGATGGGAGGCGCTCGGGGCCGGGCCACTGCAGGCTGGTTTGGGGCTGGGAAAGAGGGACAAGTATTATTATTAGAGTGTTCCCCACTACTTCATGGTTCGCTTATTAGAGACTCACTATTTTGGTTTTTTTTAAAAAAAGTAATAAAGTAATAAAACTGGGGGAAAACCAAATACCACTCAGCAGCAGCCTCTTCTTCCTCCTCACCGCCTCTCCTTCCTCATAGAGGGGTGTGCCGAGGCTCCCCCTCCCCCTCCTCTTCTAAGGGGCCTCTGAGGAAGAGGAGGGGGAGCTTCAGCATGGACATCTCCAAGGAGGGAGCAGAGAGCAGCAGAAGCGGCGAGTAGGAGGCCGCTGCCAAAGAGGGCCGTGCTTAGCACCCCCCCCCCCTCTTCCTTGGAAGCCTAAGGGTCCTCTGAAGAAGGGGAGAAAGTATTGTCGAAGGCTTTCATGGCCGGAATCACTGGGTGGTTGTAGTTTTTTCGGGCTATATGGCCATGGTCTAGAAGCATTCTCTCCTGACGTTTCGCCTGCATCTATGGCAAGCATCCTCAGAGGTAGTGAGGTCTGTTGGAAGTTCCCAGTTTTAAATCCTTGCATCTAACAGCAACTAGATGCAGAGCCTTTACAGCAGTGGCACCATCACTCTGGAATACTCTGCCACCAGAAGTCCGTGCCTTGCAGGAATTATCAGCTTTCCGCAGGGCTTGTAAGACATATTTGTTTCGACAGGCCCTAGGGGAGTGGCGGCATATAAGTTTTAATAATAAATAAATAAGTGAGGGAACACTGTATTTTCATCAGATTTATTTACGAAGGGTATTTTTTAAGTAAGGTCCGTTTTGTTGTAGACACTAGTAGTTTGCACGCATACCGCAACAAGCGCGTGCGTCATGTACCGGCATGCCTCGGGAACAACTGTGCTCAGTTTCCACTCTGTAGCTCATGTACGGTTCTGTTCTGTGCTTTAAAAATGTTTAAGACTATCAACTCACCCTCCGCATGTGAGGTTCGCTCAGTGATACGGTTTTTGTCAGCAAGGAACCTGCCTGCTGCAGAAATTCATCGACAGATTTGTGAAGTGTACGGTGATACTGTTATGAGTGAAAGCAAAGTGCGTAAGTGGGTACGACAATTCAAAGATGGCCGTGACAACGTCCATGATGAGGACCGCTCCGGTCGCCCTTCTTTGATTACAGTGAACTCTGGTTATCGGAGCAGGCGGCAAGTTTTTATGAAGAGGGTATTTTAAAATTGGTTCAGAGGTATGATAAGTGTTTGAACAAACTTGGCAACTATGTTGAAAAATAGAGTAAAGTATGTACTTTCTGAAAATAAATTTACTTTTTTGAAATAAACTTTCGTTGTGTACTTATGTTTCAACGGACCTTACTTAAAAAATACCCATTGTATATTCCCTTTTATTTCAGGAATTCGGGCCCAAAGTGTCTCATAACCTTGAGGTGAAGACAAATGAAAACAAATCCTTCCCTTGCTGCTGCTTTCCATGTTTGGAGGCAGGGGGGAGTTGAACACAATATTTGCAGTCCAGGGAGCGCATAGAGTTCCATACTGAAGGTGGAAGGACTTGAGAGGCAGCTGCTCTTATCCCCAAAAGGCAGAGAAAGATAAATAAAACGTCTCTCAGGGAATGAACATCCCCCAACTCACCTGGGGAGCTGTAGGAGTTGCGGGGGCTGTGGCGCAGGCGCTTCAGGTACTCCGCTTTGTCAGCCACAGTGAGCCGAGTAGAGACAAGGCCCAGCTCCAAGGCCAGGAGCTATGGAATGGGGGAGGAGAGGGGTCAGGACTCAAGCTCAGAGTGACAGCGGAATCCCAGTCACCTTCAGCATGGGAGTAGGTCCTGCCTTCACCTGCCCAGCAAGACAAAGGGACATGACTCTCCCCCCACCACCCCGCTTCCTACCTCCTGAACTCGCAAGGCAAACTCCTCACGTGTTTCTTCAGCTTGTCTGCAGACTGATGGGAGCCACCTGGGAAAGAGGGAGGAAAGGGAAGGAAGCCCAAGTAGAGCTTTGGGTGCTGCAGCACACAGGGGAAGATCCTTTCCAATCACAGAGTTGGTAGAGACTACAAGGACCATCCGTCCAAGCCCCTCACATGAAGGCAGCAGGAAGACACAATCTAATGAGGGGAATATAGGAACCACCCGAACCCTATGCCCCCCATCACCAACAAAAAAGGCAAAGAATGTTAGTACCTTACTTGATAAACAGTGAAGGGTACAAAGAACGTCCAGAGCAGCTCAGTCACCCAGGAGGCACCAGCCACACTCTTCAGGGGGATTTGGAAGGAGGTGCATTGGGAGAGATGTGGGAAGAGAGAGGTCTGTGAAAAGTCCCCCAGGGAGCAGCTGCATGTGGACATTTGGGACGCTTGAAGAAAAGAGCGAAGCCCGACCTCTCTGCCTCCCTCCTCCCCACATCCAAAGTGCATTGTTCTGAAGGTGAACATGTTAAGTAAGATCCTTCTCAATACCGGCAAACCCCCTCCCCCTGTCTCTGTACTCACCACAGTAACAAATGGTCTCTGGACTTGCAGTGCCACTGGCTGGACGGTATCTGAGATGGAGAAGGGCCATGTGCTGCAGGGAGGGAGGGAGGGAGGGAGGGGCCCAATCAGGAAGGCCAAACAAGAGGGTGGTGCCCCCAATTCAGCAACAGCAAAGCCCCCTTTTATTTATTTATTTAAAACCTTTATATTCCGCCCTTCTCACCCCGAAGGGGACTCAGAGCGGAGCACAGAGCATACATTCAATGCTGGGACACAAATTCTTATATACATACATGAACATTAAAAAAACATTTATCAAAATATTAAAATACACCATTAAAAACCGTCCTAGTTATCCGCATCAAATCTAATCAGCCTGGTCATCTTTCCTATTGCTGCTTTATTGCCCTATTCCGAAAGCTTGGTCCCACAGCCAAGTTTTGACCATCCTTCTAAAGGACAGGAGGGAGGGGGCCGACCTGATCTCACCAGGAAGGGAGTTCCATAGCCAGGGAGCAATCACCGAGAGGGCCCTGTTTCTCATCCCCACCAATCGCACCTGTGACAATGGCAGGACGGAAAGCAGGGCCTCCCCGGAGGATCTTAATCTCTGTGATGGTTCGTAGGGGGAGATGCATTTGGACAGGTAATTTGGGCCGGGGCCATTTAGGGCTTTATAGGCCAAAGCCAGCCCTTTGAATTGTGCCCGGTAGCAAACTGGCAGCCAGTGGAGCTGGCGTAACATGAGAGCTGTATGCTGCCCCAGTAATTAACCTGGCTGCCTCTTCCGAGCAGTCTTCAAAGGCAACCCCACGTAGAGGGTGTTGCAGTAATCTATCCTGTAACAAGAACGTGGACCACCGTGGCCAAGTCTGACTTTCCAAGTTATGGGCGCAGCTGGAGCACAAGTTTTAATTGTGCGAAAGCTTCCCTGGCCACCACTGCAACCTGGGATTCCAAGCTGCAAACCTGTGCCTTCAAGAGGAGTGTGACCCCCATCCAGCACAGGTTTTGACCCTATACCCTGTTCGGTCTTGCTACTGACCAGGACCTCTGTCTTATCTGGATTCAACTTCAATTTGATTGCCCTCATCCAGACCGTCTCAGTGGCCAGGCACCGGTTCAGGATTTGGACAGCCTACTTAGCATCCTGCCCCAAGCCTTCATCTCCCCCAGCTCTGCAAGGAACAGAGATATCCCTTCTCCCAGCTGTCACAGGCCCCACCTGAAGCGCAGGAGACCGACGCGGCCGTTGGTGGTTGTCTCTTCGGGGAAGAGCAGCAGTGGAGGGTTCCCCCCCTGGGAGGAGTAGGCCTTGAGCGACTCCAGCAGCTCTGCCCTGCTGTCCGTCGGCCCCACCTCCAGGAAGCCCCGGGACCAACACAGGAAGCCAGAGGCACCGTTCAGGACAGGCTGCGGGGGGAGAGAAGAGGGGGAGTCAGGGGCCCCCAGGGGCACATTTCGCAGGTGGAAAATGCCAGGCAGGGTCCACCCACTCCATTATTCTTTGCCCAGCTACCTGGCAGACATGCCCATACATCCCCTAAGGACCCCAGTGGAAGATGGGCCTCAAAAACTTTTGGGGCTGCAATGCTGCACTCCCCACCATGACTTCCAACCCATTGGAAATGAAGAAATAATAATAATAATCCCAAGAACAAGCCATTAGAACAAATGCCATCAAAGCCAGAATTGAAAATTCGACAGCAGATCCCAAATGTAAACTCTGCAAGGAAGCAAATGAAACAATAGATCCCATCCTCAGTTGCTGCAAGAGGATCACGCAGACAGACTCCAAGCAGAGGCACAACACCATTGATCAGATGATTCATTGGGACTTGTGCCACAAACACCATCTGCCTGAGACAAAGAACTGGTGGGATCACAGGCCGGAAAAGGTTACAGAGAATGAACATGTCAAGCTACTCTGGGACTTCTGGATTCAGACAGAAGGAGTTTTGGAGAACAAAGCTCCTGACCTCACAAATATGGATTGTCGATGTTGCAACCCCAGGTGACAGCAGGATTGAAGAGAAACAACTGGAAAAGATGACATGATATGAGGATTTAAAGATCGAACTGCAAAGACTCTGGGACAAGCCACTCAAGGTGGTCCAAGACCCTTTTGCTGTGCTCTCCTTTGCCATAGATACCCAATATCTCTGCAGGTTATGGGGCCAGCATTCTTAAGCTGCACTCTGTTGTGCAACAGGATCCAAGTATTCCTACACAAGCATAAGGTGGCAGACCTAGAGCCCTGGCGCTGAGGATCTTCTACAAAGACCTGCCCTCCCTCCAATCTGGCCAGCCTTTGGGGACTCACAGCACCACAGGAGAGGAGGAGGCCAAGGACGTTGTGGTCAAAGGGGGTGATGTGGTTGGCGACCAGGAGGCGGAGGCGAGAGGGAGGCCGACGGGGGCTGCTCTGACGCACCAGGAGGCCCAGCACAGCGCACATCGCCCGTACCACGAACCTGCAGCAAGAGAAGGAATGGGACAGCGGGTGAGGCACTGATCCAGCACTGACACCCATGTTCTGCAGCCTCCCACACAATCAGGCTACTTACAGGAACATACAGGAGAGAGCATATGACACTCATATTAAAGTCACTCCACTGGCTGCAATGAGTTTCTGGGCAAAGTACAAAGTGTAGAATTTGACCTTTAAAACCCTACATGGTTTGGGTCCAAGTGACCTAGAGCAGGAATAGGCAAACATGGGTCTTCTGGGTGTTTTGGACTTCAACATCCACTTAAGTGAGGAAAAGGAAAAGGCCTGAGGCTGTTAGGAATTGTGGGAGTTGGGAGTCCAAAACACCTGGGTTAACACCAAAGTTAACCCAGCCCAATCTGAGCCAATTCGACATCTGTTCTGTTTATATACAATGCACAAGATAACCAGGGCATCAATCCCCAGAAGTCTCAGAAAGATTCACACATTGGCATATTTTTGGGAGTTTTTAATTTTTTTTGACAAAAACTATTTATCCCCCAAAAAACACCAACAGCAATCCCCTTGAATGCCTGTCTTTATGACACACACCACATAACTTCAACTTAGCACAGATTTATACTATTACTTACTTACTTAAGTCCTCTTTGCGGACTCTTGTCCTTAGCTGAACGTAGCATTTGTTGGATTTTCTTAGTGAGTCTGTAGATAGTTTGTATGTTGTGTTTCCTCATCAGGTTCCCTATGTGGTCAGTGGTTCCCTTGCTGTATGGCAATCCAACAAATGCTACATTCAGCAAAGAACAAGAGGAATCCTCTCATCTCTGCAGGCGTATACTATATACCATGCAGCTGTGGACAAGTCTACCAAACACAGCAGCATTGCCAAAACACGAATCAAGGAACATGAAAGGCACTGCAGACTACTTCAACCAGAGAAGTCAGCCATAGCAAAGCACCTGATGAGCCAACCTGGACACAGCATATTATTTGAGAACACAGAAATGCTGGACCACTCTCACAACCACCACGTCAGCCACTGAAATCCACATGAACCACATGGACTAGTTGAAGCTTCCGGACCGTCTTCAAAGGCAACTCCACACTTGTCTCCAACAGACAAGAGTTCTTTCTCCCACCCTGAACCTTCCAGATATATAAACCCAATTTTCCAGTTTCCAACAAACCTCACAATCTCTGAGGATGCTTGCCACAGATGCAGATGAAACGTCAGGAGAGAATGCCTCTAGAACAGGGGTCCTCAAACTAAGGCCCGGGGGCCAGATACGGCCCTCTAAGGTCATTTACCCAGCCCTCGCTCAAGGTCAACCTAAGTCTGAAACGACTTGAAAGCACACAACAACAACAAATCTATTTCATCAGCCAAAAGCAGGCCCATACTCACCACTGAAATACTAGTAAGTTTATATTTGTTAAACTAGCTCCTCATTTTAATTTTTGTATCGGATTGTTGTAGGTTTTTTTGGGCCATCTGGCCATGCTCTAGAGGCATTTTCTCCTGACGTTTCACCTGCATCTATGGCAAGCATCCTCAGAGGTAGTGAGGTCTGTTGGAACTAGGAAAGCCACATCATGAGGAGACAGAAAAGCCTAGAGAAGGGAATTATGCTGGGGAAAGTGGAAGGCAAAAGGAAGAGGGGCCGACCAAGGGCAAGATGGATGGATGGCATCCTTGAAGGGACTGGACTGACCTTGAAGGAGCTGGGGGTGGTGACGGCCGACAGGGAGCTCTGGCGTGGGCTGGTCCATGAGGTCACGAAGAGTCGGAGACGGCTGAACGAATGAACAACATATCTGAGCAATGACCAGGGTGGGACAAAGAACTCTTGTCTGTTGGAGCTAGGTGTGAATGTTTCAACTGACCACCTTGATTAGCATTTGATGACCTGGCAGTTTTTTGGTGTGGCTTGTTACTGCCTGGGGGAATCTTTTGTTTAGAGGTGATTAGCTGTCCGGGGCTGAGAGTTCCACTGCTGAACGGCTCTCACAGTCAGGAAGTTCTTAAAATCATAGAATCATAGAGTTGGAAGAGACCTCTGGGCCATCCAGTCCAACCCCATTCTGCCAAGAAGCAGGAATATTGCATTCAAATCACCCCTGACAGATGGCCATCCAGCCTCTGTTTCAAAGCTTCCAAAGAAGGAGCCTCCACCACACTCTGGGGCAGAGAGTTCCACTGCTGAACGGCTCTCACAGTCAGGAAGTTCTTCCTCATGTTCAGAGTTGGAAGAGACCTCATGGGCCCAGTGCAACCCCATTCTGCCAAGAAGCAGGAATATTGCATTCAAACCACCCCTGACAGATGGCCATCCAACCTCTACTTAAAAGCTTCCAAAGAAGGAGTCTCCACCACACTTCGGGGCAGAAGTGAGAGAGTGTGCTGGTGGTGATGGGGGGTGCCTGGCTTGAAAGCAGTATGTGTGAAAAAGATCTTGGAGTCCTCGTGGACAACAAGATAAACATGAGCAAGGAATGTGATGTGGCAGCAAAAAAAGCCAATGGGATTTTGGCCTGCATCAATAGGAGCCTAGTGTCTAGATCTAAGGAAGTCATGCTACCCCTCACCACTTTCCCTGGAATATTGTGTCCAATTCTGGGCACCACAATTCAAGAGAGATATTGACAAGCTGGAATGTGTCCCGAGGAGGGCGACTCAAATGATCAAGGGACTGGAGAACAAGCCCTATGAGGAGCGGCTTAAGGAGCTGGGCATGTTTAGCCTGAAGAAGAGAAGGCTGAGAGGGGATATGATAGCCGTGTATAAATATGTGAGAGGAAGCCACAGGGAGGAGGGAGCAAGCTTGTTTTCTGCTGCCCTGGAGACTAGGACGCGGAACAATGGCTTCAAACTACAAGAGAGGAGATTCCATCTGAACATGAGGAAGAAATTCCTGACTGTGAGAGCCGTTCAGCAGTGGAACTCTCTGCCCCGGAGGGAGTGTGGTGGAGGCTCCTTCTTTGGAAGCTTTTAAACAGAGGCTGGATGGCCATCTGTCAGGGGTGGTTTGAATGCAATATTCCTGCTTCTTGGCAGAATGGGCGGGGCAGAGAGTTCCACTGCTGAACGGTTCTCACAGTCGGAAGTTCTTCCTCATGTTCAGATGGAATCTCCTCTCTTGTAGTTTGAAGCCATTGCTCCATTGCGTCCTAGTCTCCAGGGAAGCAGAAAACAAGCTTGCTCCCTCCTCCCTGTGGCTTCCTCTCACATATTTATACATGGCTATCATATCTCCTCTCAGCCTTCTCTTCTGCAGGCTAAACATGCCCAGCTCCTTAAGCCGCTCCTCATAGGGCTTGTTCTCCAGACCCTTGATCATTTTAGTCGCCCTCCTCTGGACACATTCCAGCTTGTCAATGATCATAGAATGAAAGAGTTGGAAGAGACCTCCTGGGCCATCATCCAGTCCAACCCCATTCTGCCAAGAAGCAGGAATATTGCATTCAAATCACCCCTGACAGATGGCCATCCAGCCTCTGTTTAAAAGCTTCCAAAGAAGGAGGCTCCACCACACTCCGGGGCAGAGAGTTCCACTGCTGAACGGCTCTCACAGTCAGAATCCTAGAATCCTAGAGTGGGAAGAGACCTCCTGGGCCATCATCCAGTCCAACCCCATTCTGCCAAGAAGCAGGAATATTGCATTCAAAGCACCCCTGACAGATGGCCATCCAGCCTGTTTCAAAGCTTCCAAAGAAGGAGCCTCCACCACACTCCAGGGCAGAGAGTTCCACTGCTGAACGGCTCTCACAGTCAGGAAGTTCTTCCTCATGTTCAGATGGAATCTCCTCTCTTGTAGTTTGAAGCCATTGTTCCCTTGCGTCCTAGTCTCCAGGGAAGCAGAAAACAAGCCTCCTCCCTCCTCCCTAGGACTTAGAATCATAGAATCCTAGAGTTGGAAGGGACCTCCTGGGCCATCATCCAGTCTAACCCCATTCTGCCAAGAAGCAGGAAAAACACATTTAAAGCAACCCTGACAGATGGCCATCCAGCCTCTGTTTCAAAGCTTCCAAAGAAGGAGCCTCTGGGGCAGAAGTGAGTGAGTGTAATGGCAGTGATGGTGGCGAGGGGGGAGCCTGACCTCCTGGGGGCGCTGTCGGGGAGGGCGCAGCTGACGAGGAAGACGTGGAGTCCGACGAAGAGGCGCAGGAGGAGCAGGCAGAGCCCCACGGGAGCGTAGAGGAGCAGCGCCACCGCCAGCAGGCCGTCTCCCGGGAGGCTGTGCGGGAGAGAAGGAGACAGAGAGAGAGAAAGAGAGGCGTCAGGGACTGAGGAGAAAGGTAGGCCCAAATCCACTGCGCCGCGCTCCTGCTCTCACCGGTGTGAGTCGAAGAGGCGCTCGGGCCCCACGGGGGAAGGAGAGGCGCCCGCTCCTGCTGCTGCGGAGGGCGGCGCGGGATCCATGGCTTCTCCCCCCCGGCGCCTCCCGCCTCGCCTCCTTCCCTTCCCGGGCTCTCCCTCAGCGCTCCCAGGCCGCAGCGGCCATCTTGGAGTCGCCTCCTCGCACAGGCCCCAGTTGGGCGGAAGTGCGTCACCGCGTAGCACAACGCCGCGCTCGGATTGGCTCACCGCCCGGAAGTGACCAAAAAGCGCCTCGGCCTACACTTCCGGTCGCCTCCTCGCACAGGCTCCAGTTGGGCGGAAATGCGTCACCGCGTAGCACAGCCCTGCGCCCTGATTGGTTCCCCGCCCGGAAGTAAACAAAACTGCGCTTCGGCCTACACTTCCGGTGGCGCCGCGGCCTATACTTCCGGTGTTGCTCCCAGGGAGTCTCTTGTTTCTTTCGCCCGGGGGATGGGGAGGATGTGGCCGGCGGGGATGCGGAGGTGTTTGGGCTTGGCGTTGGGAAAGAGGGCGGTCTTCTCAGGCGGAGGAAGGCCTCCTTTTCCTCCTCCTCCTCCTGGTTGGCGTTGGGCAGCGATGGGAGCGTGCGGAGCGGGGGCCGGGCTTCTGCTGCTGTTCTTCCTCCCTCGCAAACGGCGGAGGCCCGAGGAAGGCCTGGTCCCCGCGCTCTTAGCCGCCGTGCCTTCCCCGCCGCCTTCCCCGCGCACCACTTACAACTTCATCGCCGACGTCGTGGAGAGGACCGCCCCGGCCCTCGTCTACATCGAGATCCTGGGGAGGTTATTATTTATTTACTTACTTTATTTGTATACCGCACTCTCTCAGCCCGTAGGCGACTCAGTGCGGTTTACAACCAGGTCAGTATACAAAGTGCACAACATTAGTATTAGCATTTAAAAAACAGTAACTAGAGCAGACTACTTCAACCAGAGAAGTCAGCCATAGCAGAGCACCTGATGAACCAGCCTGGACACAGCATATTATTTGAGAACACAGAAATGCCGGACCACTCTAACAACCACCATGTCAGACTACACAGAGAAGCCATTGAAATCCACAAGCATGTGGACAATTTCAACAGAAAGGAAAACCATGAAAATGAACAAAATCTGGCTACCAGTATTAAAAAACTCTAAAATTATAACAGCTAAACACCAGAGAGGAAAAAACCAGGCATTAACACCTCTCAACAAAAGATTGCTCCAGGCTCAGCCAGGCCTTCAAATGCTAATGAAGGTGGTCAGTTGAAACATTCACACCTAGCTCCAGCAGAGAAGAGCTCTTTGCCCCACCCCAGACATTCCACAGATATATAAACCCATTTTCCTAGTTCCAACAGACCTCACAACCTCTGAGGATGCTTTCCATAGATGCAGGCGAAACGTCAGGAGAAATGCCTCTAGAACATGGCCTATAGCCCGAAAAAACCCACAAGAACCTAGTGATTCCAGCCATGAAAGCCTTCACAATACATAGTAACTAGAGCAACTAAATCACATAGCAATACATCAGTACATCAATATAACAACAATACATCCATATAACTAATCCATCACGTCTCATCAATAAAGTCATAATCCGATCTCCTCGTCCATTATTCCAAGTTCCAATCTCAATCAATTGATTGCACTGCTTAATTAAACGCCTGTTCAAAGAGCCAGGTCTTCACTCTTCTCCTGAACGCCAGCAAGGAGGGGGCCGATCTGATGTCTGCGGGAAGGGCGTTCCACAGCCGAGGGGCCACCACTGAGAAGGCCCTGTCTCTCGTCCCCACCAGTCGTGCCTGCGAGGCTGGCGGGATCGAGAGCAGGGCCTCCCCGGACGATCTTAATGTATTCTATTTATATATATACTAGCTGTCCCCTGCCAGGCATTGCTGTGGCCCAGTCTGGTGATCTAGAAAATAATTAGAAAGGGCTGGTTTCTAATATATGTAATGTCTTTCTGCTTGTGAGTAAACAGTATTTCCTGCTGTTTCCTTGACAGTGTTGACGTAAAGATTGTCTGGTTTGCCTACTCTGGAATATGCAACTTATCATTGTCCATCTTTAGGAGTCCCTTTCAAATCTGTGATACTTTATCTCTCTCTGTGTGAATCATATCTATCTATATCTATGGCTGGATAGCTCTGTTTTCTTGCCCTGGTGAAGGTAGTTGGACTGGGTGGCCATAAGTATTTTCTGTTGGTCATGGGGGTTCTGGGAAGTTTACCCCAGTTCTGTCATTCGTTTGTTCATTCAGAATGCTCTTTGATTGTAGGTGAACTACAAATCCCAGCAACTACAACTCCCAAATGTCAAGCTCTATTTCCCTTAAACGCCGTCTGTGTTCATATTTGGGCATATGGAATATTCGTGCCAAGTTTGGTCTGTTTGTTTGTTTATTTATTTATTTTGCTTATATACCACAATTCTCAGCCCAGGGGCGACTCACTGCGGTGTACAACATAGAAAAACAAGGTGCAAAATACAAGACACAGTATAAAATAATCCACAGTTCATCAATATCAAAAAACATCCTCATCAAAAACATCATCTTTACTACAAAAGCCATTCCGTGTCGTCTCATCGTCAAAACCACAATCCAGTATCATTTGCCATTGTTCCATTCCTATGGTCAATTACCAATCATTGCACTTCTTGTTCAAACGCCTTCTTAAACAGCCAGGTCTTTAATTTCCTGCAGAATATCATCAGGGAGGGAGCTAGTCTGATGTCCACGGGGAGGGTATTCCACAGCCGAGGAGCCACCACCGAGAAGGCTCTATCTCTCGTCCCCGCCAGCCGTGCCTGTGAAGCAGGTGGGATCGAGAGCAGGGCCTCCCCGGAAGATCTCAAAGTCCTCATGGGCTCATAGGTCGAGAGGCGGTCAGTTAGGTCTAGATCCATCATTGTTTGAGTCCACAGTGCTCTCTGGATGTAGGTGAACTACAACTCCCAAACACAAGGTCAATGCCCACCAAATGCTGCTAGTATTTTGTGTTGGTCATGGGGGTTCTGTGTGCCAAGTTTGGTTCAATTCCATCGTTGGTGGAGTTCAGAATGCTCTTTGATTGTAGGTGAACTATAAACCCCAGCAACTACAACTCCCAAATGACAAGATAATGATTTTTGAGTGATGGTCACTCCTTGTGCTGTGAGACATTTTGTTGCCAAATTTGGTGTGATTTCGTTCATTGGTTCTTTTGTTTTTAAGGTACTCGTTACGCTCAGAGCCTTTTTGTATATATAGGTTATATTTATATTATACGCCGCTTTATCACTTCAGAAGCAGACTCAAAGTGGTTTGGCGTTGTTATAAATAATAATATTAATAATAATCTATATATATATAAATGTTCAGTGCATAATGAGTACCTTAAAAACAAAAGAACCAATGAACGAAATCACACCAAATTTGGCAACAAAATGTCTCGCAACACAAGGAGTGACCATCACTCAAAAAATTACGATTTTGTCATTTGTGAGTTGTAGTTGCTGGGATTTAGAGTTCACCTACAATCAAAGAATATTCTGAACTCCACCAACGATGGAATACAACCAAACTTGGCACACAGTTCTCCCATGACCAACAGAAAATACTGGAAGGATTTGGTGGGCAGTGACCTTGAGTTTTGGAGTTGTAGTTCACCTACATCCAGAGAGCACTGTGGACTCAAACAATGATGGATCTGGACCAAACTTGGCACAAATACTCAACATGCTCAAGTGTGAACACTGGTAGAGTTTGAGGGAAATAGAGCTTGACATTTGGGAGTTGTATTTGCAGGGATTTATAGTTCACCTACAATCAAAGAGCATTCTGAACCCCACCAACGTGAGAATTGGGGCAAACTTTCCATACAGAACCAACAGGAAATACTGTGTTTTCTGGTGGTCTTGGGCGACCCTTCTGACACCCTCTCACAACTCCCCAGGGGTCCCGACCCCCAGGTTGAGAAATATTGCCTGAAGGCCATCCAGCCCAACTCCCTTCACCAGGACAAGAAAACATAATCAAAGCCCTCCTTAGAAAGAACCATCCAGCCATACATATAGATAAATACATATGATACACATACATATATATGCCAGATATTGTATTATAGATTTCAAAGGGATCTCTAAAGAAGGACAATGATACATTGCATGTTCCAGAGTAGGCAAACCAGACAATCTCTACATCAACACTGACAAGAAATACTGTTTACCCACAAGCATAAAGAAATTATATATATTAGAAACCAACACTATTTTCCAGGTCACCAGACTGGGCCACAGCAACGCATGGCCGGGGGCAGCTAATAATAATAATAATAATAATAATAATAATAGGACTCAAGGTGGTTTCCAACAAAAGTGACAAACATTAAATACCAAAAACTGACAAACTGCAAATCAAATAAAAACAAGCACAATATAAAACTTATAACTATTCCAAAAAGTAATCAATATTATTAAATATTAACAGATTAAATAAACAAAGTATAAGACATCACAAACATTTACAACATAGTAGAACTAACAGATTAAAAGGCATTAAAATGTGGGGTGAATTACGGCAACAGACTGAGGTAGGTTTCCAGTATGTGAACAAGGATAAATATAGAAGTGTTAGTCTTACTTTACTCTGTAACATTGAGTAACATTATTTTTATATTTATTTATTTATACCCTGCTTAATCTCTCCTGAAGAAAACTCAATATGGCTTGACATTATTATTATATTTATTTATATTCCACTAAGGTCTAGAACCCAAGCCCTATAAGGAACTGGTTAGGGAACTGGGGGTGTCTACTTTGGTTTTCCTATAGAGTGACCATCGTTCAGGAGTGCTTTGATTGTAGAAGAAGGAGATTGACCTTGGGGTCTCCTATTCTTTAATTCTATCAGATGGAGGCCCCTCCTTTGGCGTCTTGGCAAGAGAGAGGCTGAAGGACCTGGGGATGTTTAGCTTGGAGAAAAGGAGGCTGAGAGAAGGGGCCACGAGAGGCGTGCTTCAATATTGGAAAGGAGGTTACCTTGATGAGGAAAGGGCCAGCTTGTTTTGTTTTGATCTGGAGACACAATGGGCAGTGGATTGGAGAAACAATGGATTCAAATTGCAGGCAAAGAGATGGTAAAAGCTGTTCAACCTCGGAGTACGTTGCTTCCATTTGTCTGTTTCTTTTGAGGTCTTTAAGCAGAGGCTGGATGGACATCTGTTAGGAGGGCTTGGATTGTGTCTTCCAGCATAGAATCATAGAATCAAAGAACTGGAAGAGACCTCATGGGCCATCCAGTCCAACCCCATTCTGCCAAGAAGCAGGAATATTGCATTCAAATCACCCCTGACAGATGGCCATCCAGCCTCTGTTTAAAAGCTTCCAAAGAAGGAGCCTCCACCACACTCTGGGGCAGAGAGTTCCACTGCTGAACGGCTCTCACAGTCAGGATGGCAGAAGGAGGTTGGACAGGATGGCTCTTGGCCTGTCTTCTAACTCCATGAAATTGAGGCCCTGACTTTGGTGCCTTGGGCAGAGATCCCACTGTTTCGGTGCTTTCTCCTCTGGACTGGGAAGCTGTGTGGAGGGGTGTGTGTGTATTCCCTCCGCTGGCCCCCTCATCCTCCCTCTGCTCCCCCTTGCTTTGCAGGCACCCCTTCTCTGGGCGTGAGGTGCCCATCTCCAATGGCTCAGGCTTCGTTGTGTCTTCGGACGGGGTGATTGTGACCAACGCGCACGTGGTGGCCAACCGGAGGCGAGTGCGGGTACGCCTGGCCAGCGGGGAGCTCTACGATGCGACAGTGCGGCAGGTGGACCAGGTGGCCGACATCGCCACCCTGAAGATCTCCCCCAAGGTGAGGAGCCACTGGGACTGGAAGGGGACTGAGCCAGAAGAACAGAAGAAGGGCAAGCCCTTGGAATCTGGCTCTCTTAGCATCTAAATGGGGTGCTGGTGGTCCTCAGATAGACCACCCCTTTCCATTCAAAGAGCCAACACAGAGCCCATCTGCAGGTTCAGATGCTGCCATACTCTCACCCTGACACCTAAATGGAGGCATTGGACTCTCTGTTCTGGGCTGACAATGAGGGAGCCTTCTCCACCATGTTGGAATGAAGCTTGGTTTAGGGTGAAGGAAGGCAGCAGAATATCTTGAGTTGGTCACATCCCTAAGGATATCCCATTCCTTTAGAGTTAATACGGTTTTTGGTCAGCTGGTATTGACAGATGTAAACAGATGTAAATATTAGGCTTGGGCGGTTTCGTTTGTTAATTTCGTAATTCGTTATTAATTCGTATTTAAATTAGCTTACGATCCGATATTGAGCCGTTTTGGAATAGTGTGAGGAGTAATTAAGAATCGAAACAATTTTTCCAATTTTCGTAATTATTTCGTAATTATTTTCGTAATATAATATAATAATATATAATATACAATAATATAATATAATCATATATAATATAATAATATAATAATATTATAATATAATGTATAGTAATATAATATAATAATATATAATATAATAAAATTATAATAATATAATAAAATATATAATAATATAATATACAATAATATATAATATTATAATAATATAATATAATATATAATAATATAATATAGTTGTTGTTTGTTTTATCACACCAACAGTCAACAACAGAGGGAGAGGGAAGCTTCAGAAGTTCCCCCTGTCTCATTTGGAGGTTTTTTTTAGCATGTTGCACAATTGCGTCCGCTATTAATGAATCAATTCAAAATTTACGAAATTCCGTAAATTTCAATTTTTTTAAAGAAAAAATTTCGGAATTATTAAAAAAAACGAAACGCATGGACCCCTAAAAGAAACGAGTTTAGAAACAAATTTTTCCATTGTTACCCAAGCCTTGTAAATATTTCTCTTATCACGGTCACAGTTCTTATCAAACCCAGTAGTTTACTATGGCAGGTCAAACATTTTAGTTCTCATTAGCAACTTTTAATTACAGTCCAACAAGCAGGTAGTAAATGATTTAGAATGGTGTCTTCAGCCAAATTATTAGCTCTCATTCATTCATCTTTCATTCATACCCACACATATTAAATCCACATGTATCAAATCTGCACATTATATTTCTTCACAGGCATACCTTTTTAGTATGTATTGCCTGAGTAATTTTGGCCCCACCCTTGCAAACTTTTGAGTTGCAACTCAATCTCGGTATTTGTATACCTATATCTTCTCCTTCCATATATTACTATTGCCTGCTCCAGCATATTAATACTTTGTACTCAGCTTGTGGGTGTGAATTAGAATTGAAAGCAGGCTTATAGGACCAGTACCTGGGAGATAAGAGAGGAAAGTCTGGGAGATGGGAACGAAGGACGTTTTTTCCTGAGAACTGGGGTTAGGATTAGAGGGCATGTTTAGCTTTATTAGCCAGTAGAGATGTTGTGAGCCAATGAAAATGTGTGCGCAAAATGCCTAGATGCAGTCCATCATAATGTGTGTATGTTATGACAAACTTTAGTGTTGACGGGGGCAGAGCCTGCTCTGTTTTCTTTTCACAAAGTTCTTCAAGCTGGACTTATTCTTGAAAGACAGGTGAGGTTTATAGCTGTGTGCTGGCGCTGACCCACTTCCCTTCTCCCCCAGAAACCCCTCCCCACACTCCGCCTGGGCCGCTCCTCGGAGGTGCGCCAGGGGGAGTTTGTGGTGGCCATGGGCAGCCCCTTCGCCCTCCAGAACACCATCACCTCCGGCATCGTCAGCTCGGCCCAGCGGGGGGGCCGGGAGCTGGGCCTCTCCTCCTCGGACATCGAGTACATCCAGACCGATGCCGCCATCGACGTAAGTAAGCCATTCCAGAGTGGATGGGCACAGGCTCTGTCCTGGCCCCTGTGTTGGGAGTGAGAAAGGTCCTTGGGGGTGCCATGGGGCCCTTAAGTGACCCCTCTCCTTTGTGTCTCTTTTTTTTGCAGTTTGGGAACTCTGGAGGCCCCCTTGTCAATCTGGTAAGTACTTCTTTTGCTGACTATGCCTTGTTTGCCTCTCCTTTGCCCTTCAGCCTTATCTGCCTCTCTGGTGGCACTTTGGGCCCTATGGTCCATTGTTGGGGCTTTTGCACACCCAGAAGCCCCCCCATGGCTACATGGAAGGGTTCTTTTACCTCTCCCTCTCACATATTAGAACACAGCTGAGTCCTCTCTTTTTCTTCCTGGCCTCAGGACGGAGAGGTGATTGGGGTGAACACCATGAAGGTGACGCCTGGGATTTCCTTTGCCATCCCCTCGGATCGTCTCCGGGCCTTTCTGGAGAAGGAGGAGAAGCACAAAGGTGAGTTTAATGGTGGGGGTGGGGGGTGGGGTGAGAGTTTGGGAACAGGAGAAGAGGGGTAAAGGGGGCTTAGCTATCTATATCTATGTCTGGATGGCTCTTTGTCATGTAAGCCACACCGAGTCCCTTGGGGAGATGGTAGCAGGGTACAAATAAAGTATTATTATTACTATTATTATTATTATAGCTGCACAACTCATTTGCATTGCTGGGATCCCTGGGAGAACAGGAAAGCTTTTCTGGGGGGTGGGATTGGGGGAAGGTTCCTGTACCCCTTCCCTTGTTATGTGTGCAGTGGGAGAGGTCTGTTTGGGAACTGGAAATCCAAAACTGCCCAATGGAGACCCCAATATCACTTTTTGCCTTTGTTGCATAGTGCATCCAGATCTCATGCATACGTATACATATTTCCTCTTGACCGTGTTAGTTTGGGAGAATTTCTTCATATTTATATTTCATATGGATAAAAACTTAGTTAAGGGGCCAGAGTGGTGCAATGGGTTATTTATTTTATTTATTTATTTGGAAGTTTTATATACCTGTCTTCTCACCTCCAAGGAGGGACTCAGGCCGGTTCACGATATGTGTTCCTATACAATAATATACAAAACAGCACAATGCATCATCATTATACGTTAAAATATCAGTACAATTAAAACATCATCATCACATTACGCAAGCCAAGTCGTCAGTACAGTCATAATTCGTCGCCATCCTTCCATGTGGACAAGGGTTATTGACTCAATCCTCAAATGCTATTTTCCAAAGCCAGGTTTTTATTAGTTTCCTAAAGGCCAGGAGGGAAGGAGCAGATCTAATCTCTGGTGGGAGGGAGTTCCAAAGCCGAGGGGCCACCACCGAGAAGGCCCTGTCCCTTGTTCCCACCAAACGCGATTGCGAAGGTGGTGGGACCGAGAGCAGGGGCCCTCCGGAAGATCTTAGTAACCTTGATCATTCATAGGGGAGAATCTGTTCGGACAGGTAAACTGGGCAGGAGTCATTTAGGGCTTTATAGGTCAACACCAGCACTTTGAATTGTGCTCGGAAGCTAAACGGCAGCCAGTGGAGCTGGCGTAACAGAGGGGTCGTATGGTCTCTGTACCCCGCTCCTGTTAGCAACCTGGCTGCCGCACTTTGGACTAATTGAAGCTACCAGGCAGTCTTCAGAGGCAACCCCACATAGAGAGCGTTGCAGTAGTCTAAACGGGATATAACCAGAGCATGGACCACCATGGCCAAGTCAGACTTCCCAAGGTACGGGCGCAGCTGGCGCACAAGTTTTCATTGTGCAAAACCATTGAACCTGCTGACCTAAAGGTTGGCAGTTTGCAATTGCAGGTGAGCTCCCACTGTTAGCCCTAGCTCCTGCCAACCGAGCAGTTCTAAAACATGCAAATGTGGGATCAGTAGGTACCGCTGCGGCGGAAAGGTAATAAAGGCACTCATGCAAGCAACATAACCAGCCGTGCTGGCCATATATTCACGAACAACAGGCTCCTCGGCTTGGAAATGGAACAAGAGCACCTCCCCATGGCCAGAGTTGAGCACCACCTCCAGACCGGGGATAAAAGGGGAAGCCTTCACCTTTGTTCTGTGTATTTGTGTGTCATTGTTAGCCCACTGTACTAAGGCACTGAATGTTTTCCTATCTGTGTAATCCTCTCTGAGTCCCCTTGGGAGATAGAGAGGAATAAAGTGTTGTTGTTGTTGTTGACAGTTTCTGTTACTCTTCTGGGTTTGCTGCCATGTGGGTCTGTGTGCGGATCCATCGGGTGTGAGATCTGGAGGGCCAAGTCCCCTTTCATGATGACAGACCCTCTTCTCCCTCCCTCCCCCCTCCTCCAATTGCAGACTCCTGGTTTGGTGGCACGACGGAGGGGAAGAGACGCTACATTGGCGTGATGATGCTGACCCTGACCTCCAGGTAGAGACTTTTCCATAAAGCTGGGGGGGGGGGGGCGTTGCTGTTGCGGTCAGTGAATGGGACAGAAGTCTTTCTGTGTTGGAGACAAAGACCCTGCTCCATCCAACCACAGAATAAGATGGGATGTGCATTGTAGCAATAGTATGGTGCAATGAAGCCAGTGTTATCTATGAGTATGATAGTGTCACCTGCAGCCCCATCCCTCCCCATTGTTTCCCATTCTTTGGGATGAGGCTTATTGTATGTTATTGCTTATATGTTCAGTTGTATTATTTATATTGTTTTATTTGCTTGCTTGTTTGTGAATGCATTGTTGTATTTTTATTTGACGGGCTTGGCCTCATGTAAGCCGCTCCGAGTCCCTTCGGGGAGATGGTGGCGAGGTATAAAGTATTATTATTATTATTATTATTATTATTATTATTATTATTAGCCGTCCCCTGCCACACATTGCTGTGGCCCAGTCTGGTGATCTGGAAAATAAAGTAATGAGAAAGTGTTGATTTCTAATATTTGCAATGTCTTCATGCTTGTGCGTAAACAGTATTTCTTGTTGTCTCTTTCTCAGTGTTGATGTGGAGATTGTCTGGTTTGCCTACTCTGGAACATGCCACATATCATTGTCCTTCTTTAGGGGTCTCTTTCAAATCTATGATACTATATCTCTCTGTTGTGTGAATCATATATATCTATATCTATGGCTGGATAGCTCTTTGTCAGGAGGGTTTTGATTACATTTTCTTGCTCTGGTGAAGGGAGTTGGACTGGAAGGCCTTAAGTATTTTCTGTTGTATGGGGGTTCTGTGTGGGAAGTTTGGCCCAATTCTGTTGTGGGGTTCAGAATGCTCTTTGATTTTAGGTGCACTATAAATCCCAGCAACTACAACTCCCAAATGTCAAGGTTTTTTCCCCAAACTCCACCAGTGTTCACATTTGGGCATATTGAGTATTCGTGTATAGAGTTTGGTCTAGATCCATCATTGTTTGAGTCCACAGTGTTCTCTTGATGTATGTGAACTACAACTCCCAAACTCAAGGTCAAGGCCAACCAAACCCTTCTGGTGTTTTTCGTTGGTCATGGGAGTCCTTTGTGCTAAGTTTGGCCCAATTTCATCATTGGTGGAGTTTAAAATGCTGTTTGATTGTAAGTGAACTATAAATCCCAGCAACTACAACTCCCAAATGACAAAATCATTTCTTTTGAGTGAAGGACATACATTGAGTTGTTAGGTGCCTTGTGTCCAAATTTGGTGTCAATTCATCCAGTGGTTTTTGAGTTCTGTTAATCCCACAAAAGAACATTACATTTTTATTTATATAGTGTGTTGCTGTGGCCCAGTCTGTGTAATATGTTTTGTGTGTGTATGTGTGTATATATATATGTACATATGTGTTTTTGTGCATGTGTTGTAATGTGTGTTTGTTGTTGTTTTGCTTTTTATGGCCTTTGATTACGTTCTCTTGCCCTGGTGAAGGGAGTTGCACTGGATGGCTTTAAGTATGTTTTCTGTTGGTCAAGGGAGTTCTGTGTGGGAAGTTTGGCCCAATTCTATGTTGGTGGGGTTCAGAATGCTCTTTGATTGTAGGTGAACTATAAATCCCAGCAACTACAACTCCAAATGTCAAGATTCTATTTTCCCCAAACTCCACCAGTGTTCACATTTGGGCATATTGAGTATTCATGTAGAGTTTGGTCCAGATCCATTATTGTTTGAGTCCACAGTGATCTCTGGATGTAGGTGAACTACAACTCCAAAACCAAAGGACACTGCCCACCAAACCCTTCCAGTATTTTCTGTTGGTCATGGGAGAACTGTGTGCCAAGTTTGGTTCAATTCCATCGTTGGTGGGGTTCAGAATGCTTTTTGATTGTAGGTGAACTACAAATCCCAGCAACTACAACTCCCAAATGACAAAATCAATTTTTTGAGTGAAGGACATACATTGGGTTGTTAGGTGTCTTGTGTCCAAATTTGGTGTCAATTCGTCCAGTGGTTTTTGAGTTCTGTTAATCCCACAAATGAACATTACATTTTTATTTATATACTAGCAGTACCCGCCACGCGTTGCTGTGGCCAACCTTCCCTCCCTCTTTCTCTCCTCCTTCCCTCTTTCCTTCCTTTCCTCTTTTTCTTTCCCTATCTCTCATCTTTCTTCCATCTCTACCTGTTTCTTTCCTCCCTTTCTTTGCTCTTTGGTTACATCCTTCCTTCCTTCCCTATCTTTTGTTCCTTCTCTCCTTCCTTCCCTCTCTTTTTCCTTTCACTTTTTTATTTCCTTCTCTCCTTCCTTGCTTCTCTATCTTTCTTTCTTTCTTTCCCTCCCTGCTTCTCTCCTTCCTTCCTTCCCTTTTTCCCTCCTTCCCTCATTACTTCTTGACTGTCCCATTTAATATGTATTTATATCTTATAAATAAGGACAGGAAGAAGGAAGGAAGGAGGGACAGGAAGGAAGGAAGAAGAAGGAAGGATGGAGGAAGGAAGGAGGGAAAGGAGGGGGATGAAGAAAGGAGGGAAAGAAGGAAATGAAGGGGAAGGAAATGAAGAAAGGGAAAGAAGGAGGAAAGGGAGGGAGGGAGGAAAAAGAAAAGGAAGAAGGAGGAGGAAGAAGGAAAGAAAGAAGAGGGAGAGAGAGGGGAAGGAAGGGAAGGAGGAGGAAGAGGGAAAGAAGGGGGGGAGAAAAAGGAGGAGGAAGGAAAGGGAGAGAAGGAAGAAAGAAGGAGGAAAGGGAGGGAGGGAGGAAGGAAAGAAGGAAGGAAAGAAGGGAAAGAGAAGGAAGGAGGGAAAAGAAGAGAAGGGAGGAAGGAAGGAAGGAAAGGGAGAAAGAGAGAAGGGAGGGGAGGAGGAAGGTCCTTCATTCAAGCACCGTGGACCTTCCATTACATTTTTATTTATATGATGATGATGATTATGATTATGATGATTATGGTGTGAACCCACTCCCCAATGATGATGAAGGAAGGAAGGAGGAAGGAAGGAGGGAAAGAACGGAGGGGGATGAAGAGAGGGAGGGAAGGAAATGAAGGGGGAGGAAATGAAGAAAGGGAAAGGAAGGAGGGAGGGAGGAGGAAAGAAGGAAAGAAGAGGAAGGAGGAAAGAAGGAAAGGAGGGAAGGAAGAAGGAGGGAGGGAGGAGGAGGGAAGGGAGGAAGGAAGGAAGGAAGGAGGAAGGAAGGGAGGGAGGAGGAGGGAAAGAACGGAGGGGGATGAAGAAAGGAGGGAGGGAAAATGAAGGGGAGGAAATGAAGAAAGGAAAGAAGGAGGAAAGGGAGGAGGAAGGAAAGAAGGAGGAAGAAGGAAGGAGGGACAGAAGGAGGAAGGAGGGAAAGAAGGAAGGAAGGAGAGGAAGAAAGGAAGGAGGAAGGGAGGAAGAAGGAAGGGAGGGAGAGAAGGAAGGTCCTTCATTCAAGCACCGTGGACCTTCCATTACATTTTTATTTATATAGATGATGATGATGATGATGATGATGATGATGATGATGATGATGATGATGATGGTGATGGTGTGAACCCACTCCCCAATGATGATGATGATGTCCTCCTCCCCCCTTCTCATAGCATCTTGTCAGAACTGAAGATGAGAGACCCTTCCTTCCCGGACATCTCCTATGGAATCCTGATCCACAAGGTTATCATTGGTTCTCCAGCGCACCAGTAAGTTGCATGTTCCCTCTTGCGCAGCCAAGGGAGTGATCTGGAGAGGGTGCCTCCCTTGTGGGGGCCACAATCTTTCCCCGTTGCGCTCCCCCGCCATCTGTTGCTGTGCCTTTTCCCCCTGCAGGGCAGGACTCAAGGCGGGTGACGTGGTGGTGGAGATCAACGGCCGGGCTTCTCGCCGGGCGGAGGACGTCTACGAGGCCGTGCGGACCCAGGACCACCTGACCCTGCTGGTCCGCCGGGGCTACGAGGCCCTGCTCTTGACCATCACCCCGGAAACTACCGAGTGAAGCCGGAACGAGGCAGAATGGTCCCTTTATTTTCAAAATGGATGCCTTGTTCAAGGGGGCATTAAATCAGAGTTTCCCCCTCGAAAGTGGGGATGTGCTAGGTGACCCCCACATTCCTCAAAGCGGACTGTGGAACGGCTGTGTGGCAGTAGCTGTGCTCTCTTCACTCCCTGGCTTGTGTGCACAGGTTCCAGGTTTTAGCCTGCCACTTTTGGACTCTTGTTTGCTGAGGCCCACTATGTTGACAATGAGAACACAAGGGCAGACACGCATGGGGGGAGCTTATATTGAGTACCTTGGGGGCCACCTTTTGTGTCCCTTGTAGCTTGAACTGGTCCAGAAATTCATATCTTATGTGCATTGCATCGCATCTCTTCTTAAAGGACTTGGTGTGAAATCAGAAGATAATGTCGTGGCCGCGGCCTGTGCTGGATGGGGATTGTGGGAGTTGTAGTCCAATGCAGAAAGAGGGATCTGGATTGTGTAGGCTGCTATAAGGACTGGCGCCTTGAGCGTTCTTTCTTTTTTTACAGTAGCTGCCGGAAAATTATGTGTGGGGTCTGTGGGGCTTGACCCACCCTCCAAAGGTTTTGATGAAATAAATCTTGGGACGCTGCATGCCCAGAACTTTGGCCTCTTGTTTCAACGCATGTGTTTGGAAAGTGTGTGTGATTGATTGAAGTTTGTGTGTCTACAGAGTGTTGGAATATAACCCCACACTGCCCAAGTCTCAAGTCCTCAGTGAGGATCAGTTTAGTTAGCTTAGAATCATAGAATCCTAGAGTTGGAGGAGCTTGGCATGTTTAGTCTGAAGAAGAGAAGGCTGAGATAGCCATGGATAAATATGTGAGAGGAAGCCACAGGGAGGAGGAGGGAGCAAGCTTGTTTTCTGCTTCCCTGGAGACTACAACGCAATGGAACAATGGCTTCAAACTACAAGAGAGGAGATTTCACCTGAACATGAGGAAAAACTTCCTGACTGTGAGAGCTGTTCAGCAGTGGAACTCTCTGCCCCGGAGTGTGGTGGAGGCTCCTTCTTTGTAGGCTTTTAAACAGAGGCTGGATGGCCATCTGTCAGGGGTAATTTAAATGCAATATTCCTGCTTCTTGGCAGAATGGGGTTGGACTGGATGGCCCAGGAGGTCTCTTCCAACTCTTTGATTCTATGATTCTATGAAATAAATTATACAGTAATGTCCCTAACACATTGTTACGTTCTCTAGTCCTTCCTGCAAGTGTGTGTTCATGCCCCCAGAGGTGTTGGAGCCTCCTGCCCCCCAAATGCCTTTTCACCTGCTGCTCTTGCTTCCTCTGCACTTGAGCAATAGAGGTGTGCCTTTTATGGGAGTCCCTGGTATGTGTGTGTGTGTATCTGTGTGCGGAGCATCCAGACGGACTGTGTGCTGAACTAAGCCCCAGGAAGTCAAAGGGGGAGGCGGCCTTGTTGGTTTTAGGGCCAGGCTGTCCAGCCGCTGGACAGCCTCTCCTTTCAGCTCCTGTCTTGGAATGTGAGACCCAGCCAGGAAAGAAAACAGGCCTCACGAATGGACAGCCAGACGGAGTCCTCCTTGCAGCAGCAGAAAGCGTCTGGTGGCTCAGCTGACCACAGGCATTGCTGACATAGCTGGCTGTGTGCTTGGAAGGGGAGAGGCCGGCCAGCCGGGCAGAGAGTGGCTGAGCCCATCAATGCCTCCCATTCTGGTCCCAGAGGTGGAGGAAGGGCCCCTTCGTTGGGGAATGGGACGGGCTTTGGCTCTGGGGTTGGCAACAGAAGAGTCAGCCGAGAGACACGGTTGGGCCAAGAGAGTTACCTTTATATAAGAGACAGAGTGGGCCAATGCCCAGGCGGACAGAGACCGAAGCACCAGGAATGTGGGGGGGGGGGGGGGCAGGCAGAGGACCTCCCGGGTGGCCGCCGTGCCTGCCACCTGCAGCACCAAGGGGACCCCTACCCGAGACCCCCTCAACATTCTGAATGTACCCATGGCAATGAAAAGGCGTGTGTTGGGGGCCATGTCGGGGTGGTGACAGTCCGGTCCCAGACACGCCGCAAGAGGTTGTGCTGTTTGGGGAAGAGGGTCAGTGGCAACTCCTCTCTCCTTTCAGAGATGGTGGGGCTGGCTTTGAGGTGGCCCCAGCTGTGCCCCCCAAGCTGCTCTCCCTCTCAGCCCTGGATCCTGGGGGTGATGTCTCAGCGGGCTTCTCTTCTCTCCGGGTGGCACAGCTGACGCGGGCAGTTCTAGTGGCATGAGGGGGCCGGCGGGTGGTCTTCCCTGCTGCTACGCGATCTGGTTGTTGAGCTGTCCTGGGTACTGTTCGAAGCGCCGGTTGGCCTCCTCGCTGAGAGCGTCGCCTGCAGAGAAGGGAGACAATGAGGCTCGACCTTGCCCCACACAGGGAAAAGCCCCCCTTCCTTCCTACAATAAGAGTCCCACAACCGCCGGGCTATACCTATATGTCATTGTCATTGAACATCAAGAAAACCAAAGTGCTCTTCCAGCAGTCACCAGCCAACCCCTTTCCAATGCCAGAGATACAGTTTAATGGTGTAACATTAGAAAATGTGGACCATTTCCGCTTCCTTGGCAGCCACCTCTCCACCAAAGTCAACATTGACACTGAAATTCAACACCACCTGAGCTCTGCAAGTGCAGCATTCTTCCCAGTGAAGGAGAGAGTGTTTGAAGACCGGGACATCTGTAGGGAAACCAAGGTGCTTGTCTATAAAGCTATTGTCCTCCCAACCCTACTATACGCCTGTGAAACATGGACTGTCTACAGACGTCACATGCAACTCCTGGAACAATTCCATCAGCGTTGCCTCCAAAAAATCCTGCAAATCTCTTGGGAAGACAAGTGGACAAACGTCAGCGTGCTGGAAGAAGCAAAGACCACCAGCATTGAAGTGAAGGTCCTCCGCCATCAACTCCGCTGGACTGGCCACGTCGTCCGGATGCCTGACCACGGTCTCCCAAAGCAGTTGCTCTACTCTGAACTCAAGAACGGAAAATGGAATGATGGAGGGCAGGAAAAGAGATGTAAAGATGGCCTCAAAGCCAGCCTTTAAAACTCTGGCATAGACACTGAGAACTGGGAAGCCCTGGCCCTTGAGCGCTCCAGCTGGAGGTCAGCTGTGACCAGCAGTGCTGCAGAATTTGAAGAGGCGTGAATGGAGGATGAAAAAGAGAAACGTGCCAAGAGGAAGGCGCGTCAAGCCAACCCCGACCGAGACCGCCTCCCACCTGGAAACCGATGCCCTCACTGCGGAAGAAGATGCAGATCCAGAATAGGGATCCACAGTCATCTACGGACCCACAAGAATACGGATCCTGGAAGACTATCCTTCTCGGCCAACAAGGGATCACCTAAGTAAGTAAGTAAATAAGTAAAGTACCTATATGGCAGTTGTGGATCCAGATGCGGTGCCCGTCGTACTTGCAGTTGCATTTCATGGCGTTGTTGGTGAAGTCGCTCTCCGCCACTTCATAGCGAGGGTTGATCACCACCTGGAAGGAGGAGGAGGAGGAGGAAAGGCAAGAGTGTGGGAGAGAAGCCAGAGTGGGGGGCTCTGCACATGTCCCCCTCCCCGAGGACCCACCCCAGTATGGCTGCTGCCCAAAATAATCCATGAGAAAGAGGCAGAAGCAGGCCCCTCAAGGTCAAAGGAATGAGTTCATGTTTTGCAGTCCTTAAATTAGTGAGAGTCATGCCGGCCACATGACCTTGGAGGTGTCTACGGACAACGCTGGCTCTTCGGCTGGGAAATGGAGATGAGCACCACACCCCAGAGTCAGACATGACTGGACTTAATGTCAGGGGACTACCTTTACCTTTACACTTTATACTGGAGTAAGAACTCCTGCCTCGTTTTTGGCTCTGTCCTTCGTTCAAGACCCAAGATTCATGCTCATGTTTTGCTCCTTGTTCTGTGGATATACCTTTGGGTTCATGCTCATGTTTTGCTCCTTGTTTTCTGGGTTTCTTTTAGGATTCATGTTCACGTTTTAATCCTCGACTCCTGAATTTACCTGTTGTCTTTTGCACTTGCTTCCTTCATTAACTCTTGGATTTTTACCCTTCCATTTGCTTATGGCATTTTTCTCCTTTTTTGTGTGTGTTTTTATCAATTATGGATTTAAACTTAGAAGTCATTGATATTTATAGTTTTTTTATATGAATTTTATTATGTGATTTAACCTGTTTTGAACAATGTATTTATGTGTGTTTGGCATCTAATTGTTGCCAGTCTGTACGCCGCCCTGAAAAGGGTGGGATTTATTTATTTATTGTATCATCAGCAACCAGACGTTTGTATTACATTTTTAACAAAAACAAACAACAGACAAAACAAGTTTGCAAGCTTGGTAGTTGATTAAATGTCCTTTGACCAGTATCTGGCCACTTGGAGTGCCCCTGGTGTTGCTGCAAGAAGGTCCTCCCTTGTGCATGTGGCAGGGCTCAGGTTGCATTGCTGCAGGTGGTCACTGGTTGGCTCTTCTCCGCACTCGCATGTCGTGGATTCCACTTTGTGGCCCCATTTCTTGAGGTTGGCTCTGCATCTCGTGGTGCCAGAGCGCAGTCTGTTCAGCGCCTTCCAAGTCACCCAGTCTTCTGTGTGCCCAGGGGGGAGTCTCTCATCTGGTATCACCCACGGATTGAGGTGCTGGGTTTGAGCCTGCCACTTTTGGACTCTCGCTTGCTGAGGTGTTCCAGCGAGTGTCTCTGTAGATCTTAGAAAACTATTTCTTGATTTAAGTCATTGACGTGCTGGCTGATACCCAAACAAGGGATGAGCTGGAGATGTCACTGCCTTGGTCCTTTCACTATTAGCTGCTACTTCCCGGCAGATGTCAGGTGGTGCAATACCGGCTAAGCAGTGTAATTTCTCCAGTGGTGTAGGGCGCAGACACCTCGTGATAATGCGGCATGTCTCATTAAGAGCCACATCCACTGTTTTAGTGTGGTGAGATGTGTTCCACACTGGGCATGCGTACTCAGCAGCAGAGTAGCATAGCGCAAGGGCAGATGTCTTCACTGTGTCTGGTTGTGATCCCCAGGTTGTGCCAGTCAGCTTTCGTATGATATTGTTTCTAGCATCCACTTTTTGCTTGATGTTCAGGCAGTGCTTCTTGTAGGTCAGAGCACGGTCCAGAGTGACTCCCAGGTATTTGGGTGCGCTGCAATGCTCCAGTGGGATTCCTTCCCAGGTAATAATCCTCAGAGCTCGGGATGCTTATGTGATTTAACTTGTTTTAAACAATGCATTTATGTGTGTTCGGCATCTAATTGTTGCCAGTCTGTACGCCACCCTGAGTCGCCTCCGGGCTGAAAAGGGCAGGATAAAAGTGTGGCAAATAAATTTATTTATTTATTTATGTATTTACTTTGCTTCTATACCGCTGTATCTCAAGCCCGAAGGCGACTCACAGCGGTTCACAAACAGTAAAAACAGTAGAAACAGCAGAGGTTCCATACAACATATAGCAACACATTATCCATAAATTATCAATAAGCAATTACAATGCACAATTATTACAAAAAACAACCGTACCCAATCTTCTCATCATCCAAGCGTAGTCCAGGTTTGTCGTCCATTGCTCTATTCCTATGTTCCACTACCAGATTGCACTAAATTACTCAAACGCCTGCACAAACATCCAGGTCTTCAACTTTCTTCGGAATGCCATGAGATGGTGCCAGCCTAATGTCTGTAGGAAGGGTGTTCCACAGCCGAGGAGCCACCACCGAGAAGGCCCTATCTCTCGTCCCCACATTGGATTTCTTGGTGAGTGCTGTGAGCAAGGTGAACTCCTGCTGAGGTGCAACACTGGCACTGCTGCGTTGTTGACCTGTTTGGGGCCGTGGGTCTCATGGAAGAGAAGCAACATGGGTGTATATGCATGAGAAAGGAACTCAGGATTCTGTGATATGCAAAGGTTCACACATTTTCCATTCCCTCACCAAGGAAGTGGATCTTGTGGTGCCCAGAGACACCCACGCACCAGCCAATGCCTGAGAGGGTTTTCGCCTTCTTTGAGAAAGAGGCCAGCTGCTCTTCTCAGCACAAAATTGAGAGATATGTACAAGTGGTTGCATGTGTGTGTGTGTTTGTTGAAGTATGTGAGAGAATAAAATAAAGGAGATTGGCACGTCTTCTTTGTAGGCTGCCCCAACTTGGCACTGTGTCCAAAGCCCAGTCTGAGGGCTGTCTTGATGTTTTGTAATCAATTTCGGTAGTCAAACATTGAAGTTTCAAGATACTGCTTTCAGGAAAACAGCTTGTGACACAAACTGGGTGTTGTTTTGGTTCATCTCTGCCTGTATTCCACTCTTATGGTTGCAGCCTAGAATTGTATTGCCTTTTGAAGTTGCCACGCACCCTGTTACTCATGTAGTTGCCACAACCCCCCCTGTTCAATGCCTGCTCCTCTTGGTTGTTTTCAGCCACAGTAGCCTTGTATATTGCGTGTTTGTCTGGGGTGGCATTTTGCCCATTCTGGCTTTCCACCCTTTGTGGATTCTGGAATGTGGGGAATGCAGGGAATGCTCCGCTGGAGAGAGCAGAAAGCCAGGTTAACAACCCAATACCTCTCGCATGTAAAACAGCAGGACGGCTGGTAGTAGCCAAAGACTGCTGCCTCTGACATCCCTCTTCCACCTCAGTTGCTGGAAATGACGACATCCCACTCACCAGAGGCCAGGCTGTGAAACCTGGCAGACGGTCAAGCACCAAAGTGTTGTGACTCAGCTTGATGAGCCTGAAACTGAACCCTCTTGTGAGCCTGAAATGTTCCGTGATGAAGAGGATGATGGGATTCAGATTTCTGGGCCTGCTTCTATGCCTTTCTCTGTGCCTCTTGCAGACAGTGCACCGGAGGCGTCGCCAAGTCAGTTCTCATGGGAAAAGAATGCCAACGAGTTAGATAACGACCAGGTGCAGAGGCCTTCTCTTTCTCAGCCGTCTCACGCTGATAGAGAGGAGAGCTTTGATAGTGATTTAATGAGCAGGCAGGTCAGGAGGAGTTCACGGATAGCCAGCAAGAAAGAAGCTAGGTCAGTGAAAGGTCACCGTAATGCTTTCATGTTGACCAGAGCGTAATGTTTTCATTGGCAAAAAGTATTTAGGCTTCTGGTTCACAGGGGGAAGGTGTCAGTTCAATGTGGCTTTTGGCATGAAAGCTTCTATGGAATAATCTTGGCTTTACAGCCGCACGCTTTGGGCTTCCTGCTTCATGATTCTTGGGTCTTGTGTTTCACTGTTTTTACCATGGACTCTGATTTGACCATTGCTTAAAGGATTATGTTTTACGTTCTTACCCGAGGACCTTTGGAACTCTGTTTTGCATTTAACCTTTGTCTTTGGAACTTTGCATTGCTTTTTCTATGTTTTGATTTGGATTTTTTTCCTCAATAAACTACAAAATCTACAGCTCTTGTGTGGTGGTACTTGGGAGCAAGGTGAAGCCTACTCCGGGTTGCAACACAAAGCCTGCCAGCCCTTCCCCATGGCAGGATGACTTTGCAACCCTGGCGAGTGTTACCTGGGGGCAGGATGGGGGAGGAAGGGAACCCACCACCGCTGCCTTTCTTCTCCAACCACAAGGTATTTCCTGCCCCACTCACCTGCAGGATGTAATTCCCAGCCTTGACGTCCGTGATGTCGATCCACTGGCAGTCAATGTCGTGCCGATAGAGGTCCCAGCAACCCACGGTGATGCCCTGTTCCCCAAAATTGGCGCACTCGTAACGCTTGGCCACATCTGACCAAAGAGAAGGGGGGGGGGTTAGATGCCACCTGTGAGAGGGGCATTTTGCCAGGGGGGGGAGGGGGGAGACCCAAGGAAAGCAGCACCAAAGAGGTTCCTCCACCTTCCCCACTTTCAACAGAACACAAGTGTGTGTATATAATTTTTGAACATGATTCTACAGTAGAGTCTCGCTTATCTGACATAAATGGGCTGCCAGAACGTCTGTGTCATGTATCATGTTCCACGGTTGGTGGTGACAGGCCTAGCACTTGGTGATGGAAGGGTTAACTTAAGTCTTAGTTCTAAAGGGTTGAGTAATCTGTAAGTAAGAGTTTATGGGTGAAAGCAATTAAGGGTGGAGGTATACAAGAGATGGATATGCAAGAGCTAATCTTGGGACTGATCTTTGGGAGAAAAGTATTTGTCTTATTTTGGTGGTAGATGCTGCTGGTTTTCCCCCAGGTTTGTGGATTTTTGGTATCCTGACCTGTCTCCTGTACTCTTGGAACCCTGGAACCTTGAATCTCTGGACTGGCTTTTGACTACGGTATAGACTCTTGATCCCTGGACTTTGCTCATTGAACTCTTGGCATTTGACCACTGGACTGGACCTTTTGACTACACGACAAAAAAAAAAAAAGAGCAGCCAATAGTGAAAGGACCAAGGCAGTGACATCTCCAGCTCATCCCTTGTTTGGGTATCAGCCAGCACGTCAACGACTTAAATCAAGAAATAGTTTTCTAAGATCTACAGAGACACTCGCTGGAACACCCCAGCAAGCGAGAGTCCAAAAGTGGCAGGCTCAAACCCAGACCTCAATCAATGGCTGATACCAAATGAGAGACTCCCCCCTGGGCACACAGAAGACAGGGCGACTTGGAAGGCTGAACAGACTGCGCTCTGGCACCACGAGATGCAGAGCCAACCTTCAGAAATGGGGCCACAAAGTGGAGTCCACGACATGCGAGTGGAGAAGAGCAAACCACTGACCACCTGCTGCAATGCACCCTGAGCCCTGCCACATGCACAATGGAGGACCTCCTTGCAGCAACACCAGAGGCACTCCCAAGTGGCCAGCTATAGGACAAAGGACATTTAATCAACTACCAAGCTTGCAAACTTTGTGTTTTGTCTGTTTGCTTGTTTGTTTGTTTTGTTAAAAATGTAATACAAATGTCTGGTTGCTCCTGACACAATAGATAAACAAACAAACAAACAAACAAACAAATAAATAAATTTGCATCGGTGTATGCTATCAGTTTCTGTTTTATATTCTGTAGCAGAGTGCTATCTTTATGTTTTACATTTGGACTATGAAAGCAGCCGGAAGGTAAGTGCTGCTTTAATTAAACAGTTTGATTCTAATGGGTGTTTGATTCACCTCTGCCTTCATACCGGCAGAGCTCTGGCAATGAGACAGTCAGATAAACTAAAATATCGGATAAATATGGAGTCTCCTACTGTTACTCATCCGATGCAGCGCTAGACACCTAGAATACTAACTATAGGGACTCAAAAGGTTAAGGCAAGGCAACACCATGGCCTAAGTTGCCCAGCAGGAAGTGCCCAAATGATGTGGAAGAGCGGCATGGAAATCACAGAGGGAAGGAGGGAGGGTGCTTCCGCTTCCGGTCCTGCCTCATTTCCCCCTTTCCTCCCTCCTCCTTGTCTTGCCTTTTTCACTCATTGGGAATGGAGAGAGAGTTGGGGAGCACTCCTTAATTGAAGGGGAAATACTGAAGGAAAAGGGAGGGGGGGGGGCGTCCGATAAGAGCGTTGGATTATATGGAATGTTGGATAAGTGAGACTCTACATTGAAACTGAGAAAGGGAGAGAGAAGCTGAGAAAGTGTAGAGGAAACTAAGGAAGGAAGGGGAAACAGGCAGGTCTTTCCCCCCAACTGTGCCAAAGAAGGCAGCCCCCCACCCACCTTCTTCGCACTCTGTGTCCTCCAAGCAGAAGCTGGCCTTGTGTCCTTCAGCCACCTTGGTGCCGTTGGGTGTCAGGAGGTCGTAGTGGGTGAAGATGTCCATGCTATGGTAGTGCCTGGGGTAAGGAAGCCACAAAATGTGAGTGGCACATACCAAGAGGGCGAAGCCAACGGGTGTGGAGGGGAACTGGGTGCCAGGGGGCAAAGCGGCATGGGCACGGGCTCTGCTGGGGTCTCTTACCCGTGGCATTCGTGCCAGACCCAAGAGTGCCGCCCAGCCTTTGGGCGGAAGTCGGCGCGGCCGTTGTTGTGGATCTGGGAGGAGAAGCGCAGGAGCCGCCGGTATCCATAGGGCCAGGTGGCATTGCGGGCGGTGCTAGACAGGCAGTTCTCTTCTGCGGCGCAGTAGAGCATGTGCAGAGGACGGTCCTCAATGTAGGCGGTCTCTTGTACCAGAGGGGCATGCAGAAGGAGGTCTGACGCAGCTGGGAGGAGATGGTAGAGAAAAGGCGTCATGGTGGGGGGAGAGAGGGAGCATGCTCAGTGACACCTGGAGGAAGCCCATCCAGGGACCCCCAAGCAAGTATTGAGATGCTCAGGAGGAATATGGAGAGCTGGCCGTAGAGAAAAGGCGTCATGGTGGGGGGAGAGGGAGCATGCTCAGTGGCATCTGGAGGAAGCCCATCCAGGGACCCCCCAAGCAAGGACTGAGATGCCCAGGAGGAATATGGAGAGCTGGCCGTAGAGAAAAGCCATCATGGTGGGGGGAGAGAGGGTGCATGCTCAGTGACACCTGGAGAAAGCCCATCCAGGGACCCCCCAAGCAAGTATTGAGATACTCAGGAGGAATATGGAGAGCTGGCCGTAGAGAAAAGGGGTCATGGTGGGGGGAGAGAGGGAGCATGCTCAGTGGCATCTGGAGGAAGCCCTTCCAGGGACCCCCCAAGCAAGTATTGAGATGCTCAGGAGGAATATGGAGAGCTGGCCGTAGAGAAAAGGGGTCATGGTGGGGGGAGAGAGGGAACATGCTCAGTGGCATCTGGAGGAAGCCCTTCCAGGGACCCCCCAAGCAAGTATTGAGATGCCCAGGAGGAATATGGAGAGCTGGCCGTAGAGAAAAGGGGTCATGGTGGGGGGAGAGAGGGTGCATGCTCAGTGACACCTGGAGGAAGCCCTTCCAGGGACCCCCAAGCAAGTAGGGAGAGAGGGAGCATGCTCAGTGACACCTGGAGGAAGCCCATCCAGGGACCCCAAGCAAGTATTGAGATGCTCAGGAGGAATATGGAGAGCTGGCCGTAGAGAAAAGGGGTCATGGTGGGGGGAGAGAGGGAACATGCTCAGTGGCATCTGGAGGAAGCCCTTCCAGGGACCCCCCAAGCAAGTATTGAGATGCTCAGGAGGAATATGGAGAGCTGGCCGTAGAGAAAAGGGGTCATGGTGGGGGGAGAGAGGGAACATGCTCAGTGGCATCTGGAGGAAGCCCTTCCAGGGACCCCCCAAGCAAGTATTGAGATGCTCAGGAGGAATATGGAGAGCTGGCCGTAGAGAAAAGGGGTCATGGTGGGGGGAGAGAGGGAGCATGCTCAGTGGCATCTGGAGGAAGCCCTTCCAGGGACCCCCCAAGCAAGTATTGAGATGCCCAGGAGGAATATGGAGAGCTGGCCGTAGAGAAAAGGGGTCATGGTGGGGGGGAGAGAGGGAACATGCTTAGTGACACCTGGAGGAAGCCCTTCCAGGGACCCCCCAAGCAAGTATTGAGATGCTCAGGAGGAATATGGAGAGCTGGCCGTAGAGAAAAGGGGTCATGGTGGGGGGAGAGAGGGAACATGCTCAGTGGCATCTGGAGGAAGCCCTTCCAGGGACCCCCCAAGCAAGTATTGAGATGCTCAGGAGGAATATGGAGAGCTGGCCGTAGAGAAAAGGGGTCATGGTGGGGGGAGAGAGGGAACATGCTCAGTGGCATCTGGAGGAAGCCCTTCCAGGGACCCCCCAAGCAAGTATTGAGATGCTCAGGAGGAATATGGAGAGCTGGCCGTAGAGAAAAGGGGTCATGGTGGGGGGAGAGAGGGAGCATGCTCTTCCAGGGACCCCCCAAGCAAGTATTGAGATGCTCAGGAGGAATATGGAGAGCTGGCCGTAGAGAAAAGGGGTCATGGTGGGGGGAGAGAGGGAGCATGCTCTTCCAGGGACCCCCCAAGCAAGTATTGAGATGCTCAGGAGGAATATGGAGAGCTGGCCGTAGAGAAAAGGGGTCATGGTGGGGGGAGAGAGGGAGCATGCTCAGTGGCATCTGGAGGAAGCCCTTCCAGGGACCCCCCAAGCAAGTATTGAGATGCTCAGGAGGAATATGGAGAGCTGGCCGTAGAGAAAATGGGTCATGGTGGGGGGAGAGAGGGAACATGCTCAGTGGCATCTGGAGGAAGCCCATCCAGGGACCCCCCAAGCAAGTATTGAGATACTCAGGAGGAATATGGAGAGCTGGCCGTAGAGAAAAGGGGTCATGGTGGGGGGAGAGAGGGAACATGCTCAGTGGCATCTGGAGGAAGCCCATCCAGGGACCCCCCAAGCAAGTATTGAGATACTCAGGAGGAATATGGAGAGCTGGCCGTAGAGAAAAGGGGTCATGGTGGGGGGAGAGAGGGAACATGCTCAGTGGCATCTGGAGGAAGCCCTTCCAGGGACCCCCCAAGCAAGTATTGAGATGCTCAGGAGGAATATGGAGAGCTGGCCGTAGAGAAAAGGGGTCATGGTGGGGGGAGAGAGGGAACATGCTCAGTGACACCTGGAGGAAGCCCTTCCAGGGACCCCCCAAGCAAGTATTGAGATGCTCAGGAGGAATATGGAGAGCTGGCCGTAGAGAAAAGGGGTCATGGTGGGGGGAGAGAGGGTGCATGCTCAGTGACACCTGGAGGAAGCCCTTCCAGGGACCCCCAAGCAAGTACTGAGATGCTCAGGAGGAATATGGAGAGCTGGCCGTGGCCACACTCCCACCAGCCACTGGTTCCTTCTCCTCCTCCTCCTCCTCCAGCTGCTAATTCACCAACCAATGATGCTCCATGGCAAAAATGGAAGGCCAACCTGCGGTGCGAAGAAGACCCCCTCCCCATCCCCTTCTTACTCTCAGAGCAGATGACGCCGGCAGCAAAGCGGGTGCCCGTCTTCCGGCAGGTGACGGTGGTGTGGTGCTGGCACTGACTCAAGGCCATCTCATGTCCGGCACACTTCACGCCGCTCAGCACCATTTGGGTCACGTTGCTGGCATCCCAGTACCATGTTTCCTGTGGTGGGGGAGAGCACAAGCAGAGCACACACAGAGAGGGATGGGACATGGGACAAGCCTCACCCCATACCATCCCCACATTGCGAAGCAAGCGTGGCCGTGAGCACATGCAAGTGCTGCTCTGGTGTCCAACTAAACGTGGCTGCATTGTCACCCTTTGTTGTGGTTCAGGCAGATGATGATGAGGGGTTTATGGGTTCAGGGCTTGATGGTTCTATAGGGGAGCAAACAGAGGGGGATTTAGAGCAAGATGGGTCTGTAGATGAGGGAATGGAGGTGGTTTTGGAGCAAGATGCTGTTGCTGAGACGGAGTGTGATAGTGAAAGTGTTATGTTCATTACAGAGATTCAGGTGCAGGAAATCTGAAAGAATGAGAAAGAGAGGCAGAAGCAGGCCTCTCAAGGTCAAAGGAATGTGTTCATGTTTTGCAGTCCTTAAATTTGTGAGAGAGTGATTGGGATTTTAGATCAAACAACATCACTTTTGGAGTGAAGAACTCTTGTCTTGTTCCTGGCTCAGGCTGTTGTGGCTGAGATGTTCCCTGATGATGAGGATGATGGGATTCAGATTCCTGGCTCTTTTTCTGTGCCTCAGATCCCTGGGCCTGCTTCTAGGTCTTTTTCTGAGGCTTCCACAGACAGTGGAGAGTCAACAACACAGCGGTTCTCAGAAGAAAAGAATTTTAACGAAGGAGATAGCGAACAGGTGGGGAGGCTTTTGCCTCCTTCCCACGCTGATACTGAAAGTGCAGAAAGCCTTGATAGTGACCTGACCCGGCAGGCTCGTCTTGATTTAAGGGTCAGGCGGAGTTCTCACCTGGCCGGCAGACAGGAAGCCAGCTCAGGCCAAGGTCATCGCAATGCTTTCATGTTGGTGAGAGCATAATGTTTTCATGTTAGAAAGGTATTTAGGCTTCTTGCAAACTAAGGGAAAGCGTCAGTTCAACGTAGCTTATTAGCCTGAAAGCTTCATGGAATAACCTTAGCCTGGAAAGCAGTACGCTTGGGATTTCTTGCATTGTGATTCTTGGGGCAATTGTTTCATTGCTTGTACCTGGGACTCTGTTTTGAACTTTGCCTATAGGATTGTGCCTCTTGTTTTTACCTGAAGATCTTTGGAACTATATTCTGCATTTAACCTAAATCTTTGGAACTTTGCTATGCTTATTCTTTATTTTGACTTGGACTTTTTCCTCAATAAACTATAAAGCTACAGCTCTTGTGTGGGTGTTTGGAAGCAAGGTGAAGCTTACTCTGAGTTGCAACACAGGCCTTCATTCAAAACACAAGATTTATGCTCATGTTTTGTTCCCTGTTCTTTGGAGATGCCTTTGGCTTCATGCTCATGTTGTGTTCCTAGTTTCTTGGACTTACTTTGGAATTCATGTTCATATTTTGATCTTTGTTTCCTGGATTTTCCTATTGCCTTTGGGACTTGTTTCCTTCATTAACTCTTGGATTTTTACCCTTCCATTTGCTATGGTGCCTTTCCCCCTTCTGCTTGTATCAATAAACTATTTATTATCACGTTTGGTTTCTTGGTGACTATTGTGAGCAAGGTGAACTCCTGCTGAGGTGCAACACCCTCCTCCCCACAATACCCTTTCGTGATATCTGTCATATATGCACGCATGCACCCTCCATGCCAGCCGCCCACCTACCGTGATGGCATGCATGGCCCATGCCCAGTGGCTTCCGGTCAAGGGGAGGAGTTAGCTGCTGCTGCTGCTGCTCTTCGCCAGCCAGCTGGTTAGTTTAGCGGTGGCAGCCGGGCAAGGGGCAAGCGGCGGTACCTACTTGCAAGCCATGGTTGGCATAGCCCAGACCCAGCTGGCGGCAGGCCACCATGGCCTCCAGCGTGCCCCAGTTGTCTCCGCAGATCAAGCCCCAGCGGCGGGTGCCGAGGCCACCGTGCCCTAGTGCCACCTCGACCCGCCCCTCGAAGCGGCTGCGCCCCCCACTCAGCCGGATCTGTGGAGGAGACACAAGGATGGGACAGAAGCGCATAGGTCAGTTGGGGTCATTTTGGTCTCCTCCGCCTTCACAAAGGAGGGACAGATGGTTGCTTCTACCTGGACTACCATCCACATTAGTATTCTAGGTTCTAGCGCTGCATCGGATGAGTAACAGTAGGAGACTCCGCATTATCCGACATTTTAGTTTATCTGACTGTCATGATGCCAGGGCTCTGCCAGTATGCAGGCAGAGGTGAACCAAACAAACATTTTGGTTCCTTTAAGTAATTGCTGGATATTTGCCCACCCTTCCCAGAGTACAATTGCTCCCCGCCTCACCGTGGTTTCGTAGCCCATGTATGGGATGTTGCAGCGGACGGCGGCGTCCTCCGAATGTTTGCAGCCCTCCTGGGTGATGTTCTTGTGAGGGCAGCTCCACAGGGACTTCTCGGAGCCCAGGCACTGGACCTCGTTCATGTGGATCTGGCCGAATCCTGCCAGGAATCATTGAGTGACATCATGTGTGTGTGCAGAAAGGTTCTCTCTACCCAAACCTCCCATGGCTCCTGTCCTACCTTCCTACATGCCAGGGACAGTGGGGTGCTGCCCAGTGGGAGCCCCAGTTCCTGCATGATAGGTAGGAGGTGGAAGTGGGGACCTTTGTCAGACTCCTTGGAAGCCTCTGCAGGGGAAAAGGAGTGTTCAGCCCATCCTCCCCATGCTCACCTTGGCCCATGCGTGCCCCCGTCAGGGCCTCCTTGGCGCTACCAAAGCCCAGCTCTCGGCAAACCACACTGGCTGAGATTAGGTTCCAGCGATCATCGCAGACGGTGCCCCACTCGCCGTTCTTCAGCACCTCAACACGCCCCTCGCCGGGCTTGGCACCCGCTTTCAGGCGGACACGTTGCTGCGGAATAGGAGGAAGAGGTGGTGAGCAAGAGACTGTAGCGCCCCAAAGATGCCTCTCCGCTCCACCATCATCTCCACTTTGGAGTTCTGCAGAACCTGTGCTCATCCACAGGACAGGAGAAGTGCAAAGGAAAGTGCAAAGCCTCTTCACTGGAAACATTTAAAAAGAACCTCAAAACCCGGCTTTTCCGCTGCGCCTTTGGCGAGTAGGTGCACAGCATGATTTTTGTTACAAACCCTCAACCTTTTCGGCTAATGAAGTTTGTGCCCTCCAAATAGGATGTTCTGCCCCACAACTCTGTGTGTTTTACGAATTCCATTTAAACGTCCTGCTCCTATTTTATCTCATCATAGTTTGTTAATTGTTTTAAAAAAATTCGTAATATGTGGCCTGCCCATTGTCATCTCTATTGTGATTGTGTCTATTGGAATTTTCATTTCATTTCATTTCATTTCATTTATTTATTTATTTATATTATTAATGTCATTTTGATAATGTTGTTGTTGTCTGTTGTATATGTTTTGATTTTATTGCTGTATTATTTTGTCCGGGCTTGGCCCCATGTAAGCCGCTCCGAGTGGCGGGGTAGAAATAAAGTTTTATTATTATTATTATTATTATTATTATTATTATTATTATTTATAAGGAAGCCTTGGCTGCAGGCATGTAGCTGGGGGGGGGGGGGGCTTGGGGCTTCAGCCCCCCCCCCCCCCGAAATTCTCATGGTGGTCTGTGAAAAGGCCTCACTGGTACATTATTTAAACTGTTACGTTTATTCATATTGTTGGGGTTCAGCCTGCGTGTGAACCTGTGTGAACCTGAACCTGATTCTCTGTGTGAACCTGAACCTGATTCTCTGATTGCTGAACCTGAACCTGATTCTCTGATTGTATTTCCTGATGCTACTGAACATGTATTTTTCCCTGATGGTAATGAAAATGTTGATTCTGAGGTCAGTGGCTTGGAAAGTGAAACTGTTTCAGAGCCAAGCGGCGATAGCTCTCCAGAGGAGCTAACACCTGGCTTCCTTAATGAGGATAGAAAAGGACAGATTTGGAAAAACAGGAGTGAATCGCAGCGTCGGCGAAGGTCAAGCAGATTAAGGGGAAAGGAAACACGGGCTTCAAAGCCTGGAGGCGTGTCATGAAATAGTTTCTTCAATTTTAAGTGCCTCTCACCAGGTTGTCTCGTTAGATCAGGCATTGTTTAGACTGAGGTATTACCTTGGCAGATTTCCCTGTTTCCCGTGGCCTACATCCCAAGAGGCTTCTAGTGCTCCAAGTACGGTTAGTGGTTTGCTAACATGTTCCAGGTTTTTACAGTGTTGCTTTTGGATGTTCATGGATATTCCTGACTGCTGAATTTTACTGTGGCTTTTTGACTTTGCATTTTCCTCTATTTTGTAACCATTTTTCATCAATAAAAAGGGATTGTTTTTTCCCACAGTCAAGTGTGGTGGATTGTTATCTTATGGTCTCGTTTCCTGCTCTGGGTTGCAACACATATCATGATCTGATCACCATGCTCAATATATCTCATACATGGGGGTATTGGGGTAACGATACAAAAGGTTTGCTAGGGTAGACCCTCTTTCACTCAGACTCACACCCCCCCCCCCCCCCCGCCGAATCAAAATCTCAGCTACGGGCCTGTTTGGCTGCATGCCCTCCAGTCCAATCACTCACCTGCCCATCCTTCTGCTGCTGCTGCCTCCTCTTCTTCTTGGCCTGCGGATTGCTGCCGGCGGCAAAGAGGGGCCCTGGCACACAGCTGACTATGGCGGGCATCCCCCCCTTGCACGCTCCGGTGCTGTTGCCCTTGTAGAACTCGAAGGAGCAAAGGGAGAGGTGGACCTCGTTCCCGGTGCATGTGACCGAGTGCAGGCGGAAGTTCAGCTGGTTCTGCTGGCGCTCCAGAGACAGCCTGTGAGAGAAGAGTCAGATGGGGTGCAATGAGGCATGCGGAGGGAAACTGAGTCTAGCTGGACTGTTGCCCCAGATGCCCACTGTTTTCAGTGACTGAGAGTGAATCCTACAGGTGCTCAGTTGGTCTTCTGGACATCACTGACTCTGGATCGTGTCCATCAAAAGGTCTCATCATCTCCTGGCTCTGCTCAGATGTTCCCTCCCACCCTGGAAGAGCTTTGTCCAGTTGCACCCCATGGACCGCTGCCCTCCCCTCCTATTGGTCTGAGTTGGGGAGTGGGCAAGGTCTCCCCTCCCCAAAAGGCTGAGAGTGGGGTGGGGGGGTCCCTGTGTACTAGACATGGGGGGGAGGAAGAGGCAACCGAGGCCGTTGTACCTCTTGGTGCCCCTCCACGCCTCCCTGCGCCTGTCTCTGGGCTGGGGCTTGGAGACCCTTCTGGAAAATAGAAAACAAACATGAAACGGGGTCAAGGGTGGTTGCTGGGTTTGTTGGGGTGGGGTGGCAGTGCTTCTTTGCAAATGCTCTCCTGGATCGGCCCCAGAGCTCAAGAAGGAATGTGCCTGGAATCCCCCCAACAAGCAAAGACACCCTGAATCTGTTCCATCAGAACAAATGTCAGTCAGGTCCAGGTTTGTTTATTTCATGTCAAAAGCATTGCATAAATAAACAAGTATAAAATAGAGGGAACACAAGTGGGTAAATAATTTTCGGCCAAAAAACGGGCAACAGCGACTGCATTGTCTGTAGCTTTAAACAATTCTTCCTCTGTGCATGAGGCAGGGCATTGCGGACAAGCACACAGGTGAAATAAACAAGTACAAAACTGATAAAATAGAGGGAATACAAGTGGGTAAATAATTTTAGGCCCAAACCGGGCAACAGTGATTGCATTGTCTGTAGCTTTAAACAATTCTTCCTCTGTGCATGAGGCAGGGCATTGCGGACAAGCACACAGGTGAAATAAACAAGTACAAAACTGATAAAATAGAGGGAATACAAGTGGGTAAATAATTTTAGGCCCAAACCGGGCAACAGTGATTGCATTGTCTGTAGCTTTAAACAATTCTTCCTCTGTGCATGAGGCAGGGCATTGCGGACAAGCACACAGGTGAAATAAACAAGTACAAAACTGATAAAATAGAGGGAATACAAGTGGGTAAATAATTTTAGGCCAAAAAACGGGCAACAGCGACTGCATTGTCTGTAGCTTTAAACAATTCTTCCTCTGTGCATGAGGCAGGGCATTGCGGACAAGCACACAGGTGAAATAAACAAGTACAAAACTGATAAAATAGAGGGAATACAAGTGGGTAAATAATTTTAGGCCAAAAAACGGGCAACAGCGACTGCATTGTCTGTAGCTTTAAACAATTCTTCCTCTGTGCATGAGGCAGGGCATTGCGGACAAGCACACAGGTGAAATAAACAAGTACAAAACTGATAAAATAGAGGGAATACAAGTGGGTAAATAATTTTAGGCCAAAAAACGGGCAACAGCGGTTGCATTGTCTGTAGCTTTAAACAATTCTTCCTCTGTACATGAGGCAGGGCATTGTGGACAAGCACACAGGTGCGGAGTTGTTAGTTCTGCTCTATAGTCACACAAAGTGGAGGATTCTTCTAGGTTGTGCCATTTTGCCAGGGATGGTTTGCAATGTAAGAGTGAGATGTTTAGAAAGGTCAGCCAGAGAGCTGTAGTGCATCCCCAAACCACCCTATTCCCCTGAAACAAAGAATTAACCGAAAAGAAAGCCCTACCCTCAAATTAAGCCCTAGTTAAGACCATCAGACAGATTGCGGCATACATTTAGGGCATCCGTTGCAAAATGCGACTGACGTAAAACTGATAAAATAAAGGGAACACAAGCGGCTAAATAATTGAAGACCAAAACCGGTCAACAGTAACCACATTGTAGTTTAAACAATTCTTCCTCTGTGCATGAGGCAGGGCATTGTGGACAAGCACACAGGTGAGGAATTGTTTGTTCTGCTCCACAGTCACACAAGGTGGAGGATTCTTCTAGGTAGTGCCATTTAGCCAGGTTGTCTTTTGATCTTCCCACTCCACTTCTGAGTCTGTTCAGGGACTTCCAAGTTGCTCATTCTTGGTTTGCCCCTGGAGGAAGACCCTCTCTTGTGGCAACCCCACATAGAGAGCGCTGCAGTAGTCTATACAGGATGTAACCAGAGCGTGGACTACCGTGGCCAAGTCAGACTTCCCAAGGTACGGGCGCAGCTGGTGCACAAGTTTTAACTGTGCAAATGCTCCCCTGGTTAAATGTTTTAAATAAATGATGAGAAAGGGCCCGATTCAAGGTCATTGGGAAGGTGCATAGCTGGCGTCCGTGTGGGCGCAAGGCTCTGGATCTTAGGTTCTTGTGGGTTTTTTTCGGGCTATAGAGCCATGTTCTAGAGGCATTTTCTCCTGACGTTTCGCCTGCATCTATGGCAAGCATCCTCAGAGGTAGTGAGGTCTGTTGGAATTAGGACAATGGGTTTATATATCTGTGGAATGGCTGGGGTGGGGCAAAGAGCTCTTCTCTGCTGGAGATAGGTGTGAATGTTTCAACTGACCACCTTCATTAGCATTTGAAGGCCTGGCTGAGCCTGGGAAAATCTTTTGTTGAGAGGTGTTAAGATGTGCCTGGTTGTTTCCTCTCTGCTGTTTTGCTGTTGTAATTTTAGAGTTTTTTAATACTGGTAGCCAGATTTTGTTCATTTTCATGGTCTCCTCCTTTCTGTTGAAATTGTCCACATGCTTGTGGATTTCAATGGCTTCTCTGTGTAGTCTGACATGGTGGTTGTGAGAGTTGCCCAGCATTTCTCTGGATCTTAGTTGGGAGTGGATGGGCATGTGAGTCAGAAAAGAGGCATCCCTGGACTGGACCTTGGCCCACTTTGACCAGAACAGCCTTACTAGCAGTAGCTGAATGTGGTCTGGTGGCCACTGCTGGAGGGTCTTGTTGCCCATCCCTAGATTGGTATTTTGGGAAGAGAGAGAAACGTCCTCTCCCTCCGGCTCCCTCTTACTCCAGAGGACAGGAAAAGAGATTGAAAGATGGTCTCAAAGCCAACCTTAAAAACTCTGGCATAGACACTGAGAACTGGGAAGCCCTGGCCCCTGAGCGCTCCAGCTGGAGGTCAGCTGTGACCAGCAGTGCTGCAGAATTTGAAGAGGCACGAATGGAGGGTGAAAGAGAGAAACGTGCCAAGAAGAAGGCGCGTCAAGCCAACCCCGACCGAGACCGCCTTCCACCTGGAAACCAATGCCCTCACTGTGGGAGAAGATGCAGGTCAACAGGCTCCACAGTCACCTACGGACACACCCTGGAAGATTATCCTACTCGGTCAACGAGGGATCGCCTAAGTAAGTAAGTAAGCCAACCTGCATCAGCTGAGCAGTGAGTACACTTGATTTTGTAGATGTGGCCTTCATTAAAAGTACGAAAAGAAGCATTCCTGAGGAGTGTCATGGAATCATAGACTTGGAAGGGACCTCGGAAGGGACATCTTCCTCCAAGGAAGGAGAGCTGCTGCTGATGGAGGGCTTGGTTGCCCATCCATCTCTGGTATTTTGGGAGGGTGGCTCCCTCTCCCTCCTTCAGCTGTGCCACAGAAGCTCTCCAAAGCTCTGGGTGCCCTAATTGCTTATTACAGGGAAAACCAGCTGATCCCAACCCATCTAAAACACAGACATGTGCCTTTCACCTTAAGAACAGACAAGCATCCCGATCTCTGAGGATTATAACCTGGGAAGGAATCCCACTGGAGCATTGCAGCGCACCCAAATACCTGGGAGTCACTCTGGACCGTGTTCCTGACCTACAAGAAGCACTGCCTGAACATCAAGCAAAAAAGTGGGCGCTAGAAACAATATCATACGAAAGCTGACTGGCACAACCTGGGGATCACAACCAGACACAGTGAAGACATCTGCCCTTGCGCTATGCTACTCTGCTGCTGAGTATGCATGCCCAGTGTGGAACACATCTCACCACACTAAAACAGTGGATGTGGCTCTTAATGAGACATGCCGCATTATCACGGGGTGCCTGCGCCCAACACCACTGGAGAAATTACACTGCTTAGCCGGTATTGCACCACCTGACATCCGCCGGGAAGTAGCAGCCAATAGTGAAAGGACCAAGGCAGAGACATCTCCAGCTCATCCCTGTTTGGGTATCAGCCAGCACGTCAACGACTCAAATCAAGAAATAGTTTTCTTAGATCTACAGAGACACTCGCTGGAACACCTCAGCAAGCGAGAGTCCAAAAGTGGCAGGCTCAAACCAAGAACTGATACCAGATGAGAGACTCCCTCCTGGGCACACAGAGGACTGGGCGACTTGGAAGGCGCTGAACAGACTGCGCTCTGGCACCACGAGATGCAGAGCCAATCTTGAAATGGGGCCACAAAGTGGAATCCACGACATGCGAGTGTGGAGAAGAGCAAACCACTGACTACCTGCTGCAATGCACCCTGAGCCCTGCCACATGATGCACAAGGGAGGACCTTCTTGCGGCAACACCAGAGGCACTCCAAGTGGGCCAGATACTGGTCAAAGGACATTTAATCAGCTACCAAGTTTGCAAAATTTGTGTTTTTTTTTAATCTGTTTGTTTGTTTTGTTCTGTTAGAAATGTGGTACAATTTTCTGGTTGCGGATGACACGATAAATAAATAGCTGTGCCACCCTAACTGATCCCAGCCCCGATCCCCCAAAGGGTTTCATGCGTGGGAGGAAAAGGAACGGGAGCCGAGGCACCGCCAATTGAGGACAACCGGGCAGTGCCCAGACGGTCAGAGCGAGAGAGCGATGCCCGCGTGGCAGTCACTAGGTGCCAAGGCTGCCTTGCCATGTGCCGCTGCTCTTGCATGCTCTGGAAAACCCAGCTTGCTTCCAAAGCACATGGGGCCCAAGGCAGAAGACACTGGGGGCTTTGTCTCCCCACCCAAACTGCCTCCTTCCCTCCCTCCTGCCTCTCAGCCGGCTTCTTCTCGTGGAGCAGAGGAAAAGAGTCATCTGCAGAAGCCGGGGAATCCGGGGTTCCCTTGGCATGGACTTGGCACGGCTTTTCCTGCCCGGGGCTTGCCTAGCCACAGAATCATAGAATCAAAGAGTTGGAAGAGACCTCCTGGGCCATCCAGTCCAACCCCCTGCCAAGAAGCAGGAAAATTGCATTCAAATCACCACTGACAGATGGCCATCCAGCCTCTGTTTAAAAGCTTCCAAAGAAGGAGCCTCCACCACACTCCGGGGCAGAGAGTTCCACTGCTGAACGGCTCTCACAGTCAGGAAGTCCTTCCTCATGTTCAGATGGAATCTCCTCTCTTGTAGTTTGAAGCCATTGCTCCCTTGCGTCCTAGTCTCCAGGGAAGCAGAAAACAAGCTTGCTCCCTCCTCCCTGTGGCTTCCTCTCACATATTTATACAT